GCTAGGCTCTAGTGGTTAAAAAAAAAAAAAAAGTAGTCCGGAAAAGCGAGGCCGACGATTGGACCCATGTGGTGTCGTTTGTCAGCCCGCTTCGCCGTTGATACCCAAAGGCCAAGCCCAGCACAAGGTCAGGCAGTAAATCTAGCCATTCGATGGAGAAGTCCAAAACTCAGTCGGAAAGGGCACAACGCACCAGACAGCAACGCTCCGTCATCTTGGAGCGACACCCCCGTCTGGTTCGGCCCTGGAGATGGATCTCCCGCGCCCACGGAGATTCACTCCACCAGCCAGACTTTAGCAGCGCAGCCCAAGGGAGCCAGCCCATCTGTCTCAGCCTAGAGTCTGTTCTGTTACCTAGGTGCTTGTTAGGTCTGCATGAGGGTGGCTGTCGCATTCGAGATTTCAATGGTATACATTGTATGGGCGAGGCGGCACGAAGAAGAAAACACTGCGATCGGGGGGCACAGCGCAGAATAAGCCCTTGGTCGGACATAAGCAGAGCTGCCCTACTGTCTGGCATCGCAACACATGGGGGTACAAGGACGACGTCAGCGCTATTACAGCAGCGGAAACTCGATCGGAAGGGAGCTGGTGCCGCAAAGAGCTTCCTTCCTGGTTTGGCACGAGTTGATAGCCCCAGCAGGCCTTGCCAGGCTCTTGACCCCCGTTCGAGGGAAATCCATTGCAACGGTCGCGGACGGGAAGAAACGAAAGACAAGGCTTCTCCACAGTTGGGCCTGAGTGCTTCTTAGTTCTGGCGCTCTGACTCGAAGCGGCGACGATTGGCACTGGCGCCAACGAAGGCACCAACACCAGGGGGGCCGCCCACTTCCCAGCTCTGCGGTCAAATGCTGTGTCGAAGGGGATTCCCTGGTGACGCCGACGCTGCGGATGAACCACAGCCAACAGAAGTTTTCCTGGAAAAGACGAACAGGCTCAATGTCGGTCCAGCTGGGCCCTTTCAACGTCTTCGCCGCCACCCGGTGGAGCTTGAGGCTATTGTGTTGGCTCATGCTTGTTCCTGGTGGGTTGTCGCAGTTTCCCTAGTCCCAGAGTCCCAGAGTCCCAGGACCCAGCGAGGGTAAGAAATTTCCACTCGCCGCCAATCTCTGTCCTCGACCCCAATTTAGCGATTTCGATACAGTTTAACAGGGACAAGTGACGAAAGCAAGAAATTCCCTGCCTTCCTGGGTCCCATGCTTCTCCAGACTTGCACACGCTGTCGACAGTCATAGACCCCCGGCATTCGACTCTACTACTACGACTTGGGAGACGTTGCAAGCTGGTCAGCACCAGCAACCACCTTTTCGCACACCCTCTCTTCCTCCGTCCCTCGCTCACGTTACAGGGCCTGTCCTCCGTCTCCCGCAAAGCATGGTCCGTTCCAGCGCTCCCGTCCGCCTCGGATAGTCCAGAATCAAAGCCGGAGCCAAGCTCCAGATCCATCAGAGCTCTCACAACCATTTGCGGGCAAACGCACACGCCCCTCCTCTTCCTCCTCCTCCTCCTCCTCCTCCTACCTACCTACCTCGAGTGCTCGCTATCGTCGAGCGCTAGGCGGCCATTGGAGTGGCACTGGACGAGTGGCAGAGCACCCCGGGCAACGAGACGACCTCATCCGCTGTCAGGTCCTTTTTTGGCTGCGACCACACCCCTCTATCGGGTCCTGATCAGGTCCTCAGGTCCAGACCGTCCCCACGATTGGCTTTTCTGCAGCTATTTTTTTCTCTGGCGCTGCTGCGAAAGAGTTGCTGGGCTGCGCACACACCTTTCCCACCCTCCCTCCCTCGCTCCGAACTCTTCCTCTCACGGCGCAAGCCGCAGTCATTACACTACACACCGCACACACTGCACACACTGTACACACTCACACCCTTACACACTATCCTATTCGTACACTGCAAAGCACGGTGCAAAGCAGAAGGCACGTCGCAGGCAGGATTAATAAGAGAGGACGCTCGTCCACAGCCCACCACGGCCACGTTCATCAGTCGTCTTGTGAATTCTCCCACCTTGTATGCAGAGTAAGCCCAGCAAATCTCTATCGCCCGCCCGCGCTTCTCCTGACGAGCCATATCCCTCTTCCACAGTAACAACCCACGGCATCTTACTCTTCCTCTCTCTCCACCTATGACAATCATCCAGCAACGGACAACGAGTAACCCGGTCTCGCACCCAGCCAGCATCACCCGAACGGTAGCGTCTCATTTTCTCCCACACCCAATTTCACGCCCCCATCCTGGTCGGATTTTCATCCCCACAAATACGGGCCCTCCCTCCATCAGATAGTGGTCGCATCCCCTTCCGCATCCCCACTGTCTTTCTCGTACGCTCTTTATACAAAAAAGTTCCCGATTCCCACCGCACCCAAGCTCTTTCCCCCCAGCTCACCAACAACATTTTTGATCACTTGCTACGAACCTACGATTGCTCGCCTCCGTCGAGGCACCTTCGCCTCCGTTCACCAGTCGCTCGACTACCGAGCTACCAGCACCCTCCCGTAGTCCATACACGACGATCGATACCGCTTCGCTATGGCCCCCAAAAGAATCGCTCACGTGGAGGACGTCGACGAAGCAACCGGCTCTGTCATTCAGGGCTCCGATAAATACGCCCAGTCGATAGCACTAGGGAGCCCATCCAAGGAAAAGGCAAACAGCAGCAAGTCCCGCAATAAGGACAGGATGGCGAGACCAATTTCCGCCTCCCCACAACACGGTCAGACCGACTCAGACGATACTGTACATCCCGCTGGCCCAGACAAGAGAGAGAGAGAAAAGGCAAGACGTACCGCCGAGCGGGCCGCTGAGGAAGACGAAAAGAAAGCTCGTCGAGCTGAAAGGCACCGCCTCAGGAGGGAGCAAGAATCAGCCGCACGCCGCGAACAGGAACACGGCGAACAAAACGGCAAGCACGCTCGTCAAGAGCAGCGCGAGCGATCTGCCCCCAAAAAGTCGGCAATCCGTCCAACCACAAACCACGTCAATACGGCGCCCGTCGTCCACACCCAGAAGGCAGCCCAGAAGCAAGATGAATACAGAAGACCACGTTTCTCGGAAGACGAGGCCTCGCAGTACGGAATACAGCCAGCACAGGGTTCGCGTCCCAGAGCTTCAAGTCGTCCTGCAAGCTACTATGGCCAAGGTTCCCGACCACCCACTTCCAATAAGCAATGGCATGCGTCGAATAACGCCTCGCCCTTCACCCCGGCCCCGAATCCATCGCCTTTTGCACCTGCGATTCATGCACCGCCTTCCTCGCATGCTACGTCGCCCTTTGCTCCCGCTCCTATGCCAATTTCCATACATCCATCACCACATGCGCAGTCTCCGTTCGCGCCCGCACCTGGCACTTCTTATCCTCCACCACCTGGCGCCTGGGGTCCGGGAAACGTCCCTTACCCTATGCAGGCGCCGCACCACCCACCCCCACCGCCGTCGACTGATTACTTCCCTCCCACCCCTGCGGCAAGCAGCCCCAGGCACTCAAACTTGGCTCAACGCTTCCAACAGAGGCCTTCGTCGGCCATGGGTCACCGGTCCTTGTCGGCGTCTTCCTTCGAGTATGACAACTACGGCCCTGGCTATGGCCCTGGCTACGGCCCCGGTCCCACCTACGAGCAAGAGAACATGAGCATCGGCAGACGACAGTCTCACAAGATTCGGGACAGCGACTTGATGCCGCCACCGCCGCCCCGTTCGCGGACGACTGCCCCTCAACAAGGTTACCGCCCTCCACCTCAGCCTCAACCCCAGCAGCGGCAGATTATGTCCCAGGGCTATGACTCCGACGATTTTGATGGCGAGGAATCCATGTACCAGGAAATTGTTCCCCATGGCTACGACTATGATGATGGTGTTATTGCTAGGCCTCGCGGTCACCGTAGGGGTTCCAGCACGTACAGCCATCACGCCTACCAGATCGAACCTGCTCCTGCTCCTGCGACCACCAATCGCAGTAGCCGCCGCCATTCCTACATGGCTGGCGGTGAAAGCGGTAGCCACTCGCAATCAAAGTACGATTCTGCCCAGGCTGCTGCGATGGCCTACCAGAACGGCGTGAGCGGCGGCGGCGGCGGCGTGCCTTTGACTGCTGCAGCCCTCTCAAAGGCTGCGAAGAAGAGCAAGAGTAGCAGATCCAGCGGAAGCAGCGAGAGTCGCGACGAGAGCGAGTACCGACGGAGCGCCACCACGCGAACCACCCGGTCTTCCACCGCTGATGGGGAAGACATCACTATTAAAGTCACCGGTCACGCCGTCCTCCGAGTTGGCAACGCCGAGATCCAGTGTCAAGATGGTGGTGAAATCAACATCAGTCAGGCAGCACGCCTTGGTGGTGGAAGCGATAGAGCGAGTACTACCTACTCCGGTGACCGTCGCAGCCGCATGGACCGACTGCCTATCCGTGATCGGTCCGAGAGCCAGGCCGACTCGTACAGCCGTAGCCAAGCTGGTGACTTCGAGGGTTTTCCTCGCATCCCATTTACCTAATTCGAATTGCAACGACAATGACGATTTGATGAAGCGACGCACATTTGTTTTCATTTTCCATACGATTTCATTAGAGCGAGCGTTGTTTCTGCACTTGGACTCAGATTGAAAGCTGTATCGATATGATTGGCTTCTGTTTTTTTTTTTTGGCCCTTTTTTGCTTCTGCAACTGCTTAGGTCGGCTTTCTGGTAGCTGGTAGCGGGAAAGTTCACACCCAAAGCGGAGGCTGTCGCGAGCTCTGCTTCTTTGTTTCTTCCAATATTTCCAGGCATCATTATACCATTCACAGGACGAATCATGTATGTGCGGACGGACTATGGCTGCGCGGCACTGGCGAGACCCGCGGGGGTTTTGAATTTGTAGGGTAGGGAACACGATAATGGGTTGTGTTTTGGGGGCATATGCGGAGACTTCCTCCAGTCCCTTCCTTGCCCCAGGAAGACATGGCCTGTCGTACTCATGCGACATGACCGCATCTCCCACAGGGCGAATTGTGTGTCGCATTTTTGAAGCACGACATACGGGCTGGACGATTTTGATAGACAACCTGTATCGGCAATCCGAGAAGTTCGCACTTCTTGTGCTTTTAGGGGGACGGCATTTGCAGATTGTTATGCTTAGATAGCTACACGGTTTCATTTCTTCATTATTACTTAGAGAACAATTAGGCAGGATACCATTGGGATGGGCTCGTCTGCCCCCAAAGCCGTGGGCGTTGGGGACTACAAAAAGATAGTCCAGTCCGCCCCCGGCTCGCGCAGGTAAAAGGTGGATTCGGAAACAGCATGGTGTATGGTATTTAGTAGCGAACGAACTGCCCATTTTCCAGCGGCAAGGACACGATACCCCTAGCATGGCTGAGCCGTGTAGGCCGCATATGAAATAAACATGTTGGAACAGCAACCCGCTCTCGAAAACTGGCCAATTGTCTCGTGATCATGGTGCCGATGACATGGGGTGAGCTTTGTGCGTTCACTCCCTGTTCCATCTAACACGGAGGACCGCTGGAGCAGCGATCACTTGCCCGTTCCGGACAGCCAGATGGATGAGAGGCCAACCTCAGTACGTACTGCCTCGGAATTCTACAGTGACGGGCTTCTCTTTCTGCTGCTCTTAAACTTGCGAGGCCAATGGCCGTGGGCCGGACGTTCGATTGGCGAATTCAAACCCCTGGGAACGTCTTGAGCCCGTCAGAGTCCAACATTTGGCGCCGGCGTTGTGATACAGATTTGAAACGGGCGGTTTTGGCCTCGGAGGACGTCAGACGTTGTTGGGAAATTTCGGGATCCAGGAACGGGCCAACACTACTTCTGCTTGTTGCGACATCATTCGTCTGACAAAATGTTGATTGGTACGGAGGTATATTAATCATAGATGGCCGCATGTGGGATGGGGCGCAAGGGAACATGTCATCAGCGCGTGTTGGAAGCTCAAGCATCGGCCGCGGCGGACGGCGAACGGAACGTTGTGGATCCCGCGTGCGCTCCCGCACGGTAGACCCGACGGTTCGAACGAACAGGCCGCCGTTCGTTGTGATCCGTTTTTAGGCAAGCTAATAAGGTACCTTGGAAGGGAACTTGGGATGGTGCTTGATGGGACGTTTACTGAAAGGGGAAAGAGCCTGCATGGACTGGTGATTGGGTAAGGTGAGTACGGTTGCTGGGCGACAGGTGGGTCTGTTTACTTTCGACGTCATTTATCCATGGAGGGGGCTGGGTAGAGCTTGGGGCGCTGGACACGAGGCATCGACTTGACTGATGACTTCAAGGTGCTGTGGTAGAGGTCACATCGCCTTCGAAAAGTCGGAATCAAGCTAGTCAGCGTGTTTCCCCAATTTTACTGAGCCAATTCATCTTGTGCAAGCGCAGGAAAAGTCCCGAGAGAGCAGGGAAGCGACCCCCCGGCACAATCCCCCACCAACCACCTCACTTGTCGCGCACATCCCCCAGCCACGGCAATTTCTGGTTTCTATAGGAACCATCCATCCGCCGCCAGGCAGCTGGCCAGGCTATTCTTCCTTTGTCTGTTCAGCACCTTTTCGACATTCAGTCTGGAGAAATTGCGTTACCTACCTTATCTTCCGATCACAGAGTGGACTGCAGAGAGCATTCCGTCTACAGCATCCACCACATTCCTGTCTCACCTCGATCATTGCTGATCCTGCCGGCCATCGTCGACTGGTATCAAACACCTCACGATTTTTGTTTTTATCTCGACTTTGACTGAAGTCCACTTGCCAGTCATGGCTCCGGCCGTCGTCAACGGCCTGGCACACCAAGCCCGCTCTTTCATCACGAGCAGACGACTCTCGAGCCTCCCGGACACAGCAGACATCACGGCCCGATCATTCGACGCCTCTGTTGGTCCCCTCGCCGCTCGATCCCTCTTGCTTGCCCGCGATAGCACCGGGTACAAGGAGGATCCCCACGTCGGCGTCACCGACCCGGGCAATATCAACAACACGGCCATTTTTGTGCTGTTTGGCCTGATCGGCGCCGCCTTCGTCATCACCGGTATTTGGTTCTTCTTCTGGGCCAAAAATGGCGGCTTCTTTTTCAAGGAGAACGACTGGGACGACTACAAGACGACGGTATTGCGTCGCAGAGGACCAAACGGCACCCTACTGTCTGGTGCCACGAAATCTACAAAACTCGGAGGCGGCAGCGTTTACAAGGATTACGACGACAACCAGACGAGCATCTCGGGAACCACTCTGTCGGGCATCACAGCGGGACCGAGCGATATTGGCGCCCGCGAGAAGCGCGAGCGCAAGAAGGAGAAGAGACGCAGAGATAAGGAGACCCGCCACAAGGAGAAGCACTCGTCTAAGAACAACGATGAGGCCGGCGTCCTCATCGACGAGGAGGCCGAACGCGAGGCCAAGAAGCACCTCCGCTCGTACCGCCACGAGAAGCCCGCCCGCGTCGGCGGCTTGAACAAGGAATCCGAGGCGTCCGAATGGGACGGCTCCACCAACCCGACCGAATCGTCCGTCTCCGCCAGCCTGCTCTCGGGCCGCGAGACCACGCCGACGTCGACGCCCACCAAGAAGAACGGCGGCATTCGCAAGGTGTACAGCACGGCGGACCGCAACGAGGAGCGCGAGCGCCAACGCATCCGCGCCGAGGCCAAGAAACTGCAGGAGCGGGGCCGGGCCGCGGGGAGCTCGAGGCGAGATTTCAGTTTCCAGCGCGCGAGCACCGTCGCCGAGGATCAGAACACGCGGGGCTACGCGCTGCCGCCGCCGCGGGAGGAGCCCGAGCCCAGCATGCCCGGCAGCTGGGCGGAGAGCGACATCACGAGCGCGGTAGAGAGCGACGTGGGCAACAAGTCGTATCACCATGTCATCCCCGGTCTGAGCAGCCAGAGCGCCGTCAGCAGCGACTACGCCGACGAGAGGCGCAAGAGGAGAAAGGAGGCTGGGTACCGCCGTAACCGCGACCACTGAGTGATGATGGTCATGGTCAGGGTGAAAATTGAAATGTGAGCATGAGGTACAACGAGAGCAGACAGACCAAGCATCTGAGGCTTGTATCGAAGATGAAAAACAAAGACACGAATGGGGATGGTTGCGATTCGACGAGCATTTTTCCGAATTCTGGCGTTGGGACATTGCGACTTGTGATCCCGGGACTTTCACTATGCGGGATATGTAGACTAGCAACGCGATCATGTAGATTGACGATGGTGAGGAATGAACAAGAAACCCATCAATGAAGCATGCGGCAGTAATTTGATCTTCTTACTCGATATAGCCCTCTTCGTGAGTGTGTGATGTGACCCAGGTGGATAAGAAGCTATGTGGAGTGAGGACATTCGCAGTGAGCATCGCTAGTAGTCATCCGCTCATAAAAGGGGCCGGGTACCTAGGAATGGATAGTCAAGGTAAGGTAAGGTGAGGTGCCTTGAATTTTGTTTCGAGGTTGAGGTACCCGGCCACGTTGTGCCAATTGGTGAGCCGGGCCTTCATCGAGCAGCATCCAACCTAGGTAATGTTCTAGCCCCGCCGTGCTCAGGCGGGGTGGCTGCACAAATTGAGCCCAATGGATCCATGCAGGAGCGATCGGCAGCCGCCGCTGTCGGGGGAGGGGACCCTTTTTTTCGGCGGGGGTGGTTGGGAGCAACGACGCCGCGGGGTTCCGACGATTGCTTTTTTTTTTGCTCCTGTTTGATCGAGTCCTCTTGAAGCTCTGGCTTTTCTCTCAAACGATTTCGATATATTATACCAAGGTGTCTCGATTCCCTGTATTATTCACCTCCATCAACACGGAGAGCAATCATCTCTTCAAAGGGAACCATGATCACTGAACCAAGTTGTTTACAAACGGATTTCGGATACTGAGCAGGGTGGGCTGTATCAACTGCCCCTCATCAGAATCACTTGCGCAGCCCACAACCACCACCACCACCGCCAGACTAGGTTCGACTCTGGTATTGAATTGGTATATGTAGACTGTTTCTTCGGGCGCAAGTACAACGCGCAGAGCAGAGGAAGAAGGACGGGGGAAACAGCCGGCCATGACGGACGACGAGCAATGGAGCGGCATGGAGAACACGGTTGACGATCCGGAGGAGACGAGGGTCATATTCTGCGCCCTCGACTCGTTTCTGTGAGTGTTTAAATTTCTTCTTGATTTGCAAAAAAATAAAGAAAAGGAAAAAAAGTCTACTGGGGCTTCTGCTGCCGGACCACGAATGAGCTATGCAAGGCGGATTCTTCATCCTGACATACCACAACCTACCGACGGACGGACTGACTCTCTCACTTTTCACTTTCATTCTCATCTTCATCACCGCCATTGTCTCAAAAATCCTCTCAGACTCACGTCACTCATTAACATACTTCCCCAGCCAATACGCAAAGGTGGCACACTTCAACGTAACCCACCTCCGCCGCCAATCCTTCTATGCCCTGCCCCAGGCGCACTGGCAGATGCTCGCCGCTCCGCCCTTCAACTTCCTTGATACCCTGGAGCGCACCGACGAGGCCATCGATTCCAACGCCGAGCTCGCCCGCGCCATCGCCCACAATGGCCTGCGCTCCTTCCACCTCGTGCCCGAAGGTTCGACCGAAGAACCAAGACTGCCGGACCCCTGGGTCGGCGTCGCAAAGCACGGCGACACCGACAAGGCCCGCAGCACCCTCCGCCAGTTCTTCCGCGACTGGTCCGCCGAGGGCGCCGAGGAGCGCAGGGTATGCTACGGCCGCGTCCTTGACGCCCTCGACCGCGAGCGCAAGACCCGGTCTTCTTCATCTCCTTCCGCCCCCGTTGAGCCCCTAAAGGTCTTGGTGCCCGGCGCGGGCCTGGGCCGTCTCGTCTTCGACCTCTGCCGGAACGGCCACGACGCAGAGGGCAACGAGATATCCTACCACCAGCTCCTCGCCTCCTCCTACATCCTCAACTGCACAAAGGCCGCCGGCCAGCACAAAATCTACCCCTGGGTCCACTCCTTCTCCAACCACCGCACCCGGCAGAACCACCTCCGCAGCTGCGCCGTCCCGGATATCCACCCGGCCACAGAGCTCGCGCAGGCGGGGCCCACGGTAGGCAGCATGTCCATGTGCGCCGCCGACTTTTTATGCCTCTACGCAGACGAGGACCACGCCGCCGCCTACGACGCCGTCGCGACAGTCTTCTTCCTCGACACGGCGCCCAACCTCGTGCGCTACCTCGAGACGATCCACTACGCCCTCCGCCCGGGCGGCGTCCTCGTCAATTTCGGTCCCCTGCTCTGGCATTTCGAGAATAACGCGCCGGGAAACCATGGCCGGGACACGGACGGCGACGGTGACCACGACGCGAACAACTCGTCGGGCATCGCGGACCCGGGCAGCTTCGAGCTCAGCGACGACGAGGTCATGGCGCTGGTCGAGCGGGTCGGCTTCGTCGTCGAGAGGCGCGAGACGGGGATCCAGGCGCCGTATATCCACGACGCGGAGAGTATGTTACACACCACGTACCGCGCAAGTTTTTGGGTGGCGCGGAAGCCGCTGTAGATATTATACATTGCTCTACTTACATCAAATGGGTCCATGTTATAACCTCTTTTTTTTCGGTCCCCGATTTGTACACGGTAAAAAAGAGAGGTGGGAGTGCAGCATAAGTTAAACGCATTATGGTAGCATGATAGACTTGAAGACCCAGGCATGAATGATACAACCCGACGCAATCATGCCCACTTTGTTCAGACACCCAGGTTTACAACTCATTTACATCCTGCAGCTTACACTCTGCCCAATCTTACATTCCTGATTACAATTTGCTGGGCACATTCAGTTCCCCCCGCTGCCACAACGACCCGCCATCAATAGCAATAACCTCCCCATTGACGTGCGAACCAGCCCGACTGGCGAGGTATACCACCGCACCAGCAATATCCTCCGGCCGTCCCAGTCTCCCCATCGGGTTCCCCTTGCCAATCTTGTCCGCCCCGCCGCCCAACTCGAGCAAACCATTCGACATCTTGCTGGGGAAGAACCCGGGCGCGATGGAGTTGACCGTGATTCCTCTCGGCGCCAGCTCCAGCGCAAGGTTCCGTCCCAGATGAATCACGGCTGCCTTGCTGGCGCTGTACCCATACGTCCCCTGCTTCCCCAGCGTCCCGATGCCCAGCCCGGCAACGGACGCGGTAATGATGACTTTGGCGGGCTCCCCACCCTTGTTCGCAGCCACGCTCTTTTCGAGCAGCGGCGTAAATAGCCGAATGGTATTAAACACGCCCTTGACATTAAGGTCCATGACCTTGGCGAAAGCCTCGTCTGGGTGCGTATCAAACGCCTCGCCCCACGTGGCGCCCGCGTTGGCGAACAAAATGTCGACGTGGTCCGCGTGCTTCTTTACCTCGGCGACGAGGTGCTCGACGCCCTTGATCGAGGCCGCGTCGGCTGGGATCGGGATTGCGACAGCGCCGGGGCTGAGGTTCGGAAGGGCGTTGAGGGCTTTGCAGGCCTCTTCGCAGGCAGCGCCCTTGCGGGAGGAGATGAAGACTTTGGAGGCGCCCGCTTGGAGGAAGCTATTTTTATTTCAATTTCATCTCGTCAGTCGGATCACGCGAATTGAAGAAGGCACGCCGAAAAGAGGTGTGACTTAGAAAACATACGCTGAGGCGGCGTGCAGACCGAGGCCACGGGAGCCACCGGTCACGACGGCGACCTTGCCCTTTAGGGAGAAGAGAGAGGGGAAATCGCTGAGCTGTGTTTCGGCCATTGTTGGCTTTTTTCCCTTTCGGTTCTGTGATCAATTGAGATTACAGCTATCCCTAGTGCAGGAAGAAAAAGTTTGCAAACGACGTGGATAAAAGGGAAAGAAGAGTAGGCAGGTATGTAGGAAGAAGAGCCACGTAAAAGGGGTCTGGGAGTGGAAATTTGTTACAGGTAAATAATTAATCAGGTCCTCCTCTCTCCCCAGAGTTCCATTTAGACCGACTTGCCCCCAGGCGGTGACGTTTGCGGGGGACAAGATACCGAGCCTCGGCTGTCCCGCTAGCTCCAGATTTCAGACACCGGGCCCACACCGGGGAAAGCGTGGGGTCGGGGCCGATTACTGACGCACAGCATTTTGGCTTTTCGCTGCCTGGGGAAAAACCAAAGTGCAACATTACCAGACAAGAATTGTAAATTCCATGTAAGGTAGCACTGCCTAATTCCCGGATACTGGGTCCTGGCCGGCGTGCGGCGCAGCCTCATCGTGATATATATGCAAGGTACTTCACAAGTAGAGACAAGCAAGTAGTTCAGTGTTGAGTGATAGACGTAAGATGAGAGTCGTAATCGTGTCGAAGAGACGTCCACGCAAAATGAGAAAAGACTCTGATAATGCAATCTGCCCATGGCCTGTTCCCATGTTCCCCACTGTTGTTAAAGCCTGCATGAATGCTAATAATGCCGCAAACTCATGCCAGATAAATCCAAAATAAATGTTTGATAACATGTGAATCATGGTGTCAGAGCTTCCTTAATAACATCGTCGCAAAGAAGCCGGGCTGTCGGCAAAGTAGACTGTCGTCCAACCGTGATAGAGGAGCGTGAGGTAGGTGGACCTAGCTCCTCAAAACGTATATATCTTGTAAAACTGTGCCGCTATCACGAGTTGTGATAGAGACGCAAACATGTTTGCAGACAAAGTCGCCTGCTTATTTTTTTGATCTTTTCTTCGCTCGAGTCTTCTTCTCCCAGCAGTCGTCAACAGCATCCTCAACGTATTCAAAGTCGCCGGGGCCGATGTAGCCGATGAATAAGACCTTGACGTTGTGTTCGACCGTGACAAGCTTGGAATAGTTGACGCGCGATTCTTTGGCGAGCTTTTCTCCCTCCAACGTGATCCTCACTCGGACTGGGGGGAACCCGAGCTTTGGTTCGTCGCGCAGCGGCCGATGCGGTTTATGGCTATAGATCATGCCGTGCTTGTGAGCTTTCACGCCTTTCTTGTTGCAAGCTTTGCCTTGGTACGTGAGGATAGGCCTGATCTATCAGTCAGTCAAGTGTGCAAAAAGGTTTGGTTTTGACCTACACGCAGGTGCAGTGCCCTTCATCATTTGCAATGACAATGAAGCGCCTGAAACCGATGAATACTGATCCACCGTACTTGTCTGGCCTCTGCTGCATCTCGGATATCGTTGAGCTTCCCGTGGCGTGGGAGCCTGATGGTTCCGACCAGAGGACCTTGAAGACCTGTCACACTTAGTCAAATGGAGTTATAAACATATCGAGTAACCTACCGATCCGGGGCGGAATCTGTGTGACGGTTCAACCACATAACCTGCAATTTGTCAGAGGGGACATGCAGGAAGATAGATAGATCAGTTGACTTACGTGGGTCAAGATCTTCAACAGAACCATCAGTGCCACTTATGTCAAAGGATGGCGAAGGACTTTGCCGGCCCGTGCCCCTCGGTGTTGCAGCACCATCGTCATCCTCGTACAAACCTGCACTGGTAATTAGCCATGGGAAGTGGTACTCAAGGAATATGCCTAGTTCTTACCGTAGGCGGGCTCTGTTGATGGTCCGCCTTGGCTAGAAATCCCATACATCTCATTGCGATCTGTCATAGCCTCTTGCACAATCGGGTCATCGAAGTCATCTAAATCAGCTGTTGCATACCCAGAGTCTGCAGGCATTAGCTTGGTTCAAAACGTCAATACGAGGGTCTCACCTTGGCTGTAAGCAGCTGAAACTGGATCATGAGCTGCCCCATATCCCTGGGACTCGTGGTAGAGGCTTTCTGCGCTAGCCTGCGGAGGAGTTACTATCGGTTTGTTAGCGACGCTTTTTTCACGAGAGAAACCTCACATACACTCTTCGTCATGCGGTCCAGTCGTGCCACCTTTGGCGCCCCAAAATGGATCTAATGGTGGCGCCGCTGGGGGAGGCTCTTTGGGTGGAGTGTCTCCCTCATCGTGCGGATCTGGGGCGTAGACTGTCTCTTTTCCTTTCCTAGATCGACCTGAGTTGCCGTGTGATGTCGATGAAGGTTGATACATGTAGGATGGATCTACAGCAGTGTTAGCCACGGCTATGCGACGTTATTGTCCAACTCACCATTACGCTCGATATCCTGCTCCTCGTAGCTATAACTGTTTTCGGGGGTAGATGGCAGGTCGAGGTTGTCCATGTTTTCCGTAAGTTCGTCTACTGCTCGGGGAGTGAAATCGTCTTGAGGCGCAGGCGCCGGCGTTGAAACAACATCCTGCCAGTGATACTCGTATTCGCCTTTGAACGTCAGTTGTGTTCGGGATAGAAAGTTCATGACTCACCATTGCTGTGCTGGCGGAACTTGTAATGCTTCTGGTACTGCTCGCTCCAAAGCCATTCACTCCACTGACTCCCACCTCTCCCTCCTCCACTCTTCGACTTGTGTTTGCTTGACCTGCTTGACTTGTGCATGATGGCATCTTGTGTCGACACTTGAAGAGCTTCGAACGTCGGCGCCGATCATGGGTGGGCCTCTACGCAAGACCGGGTTCGGGGACGGAAACCGAGTCTTGGTGATAGTGTAAGCTTGAGGCTCAAGGAAAAGAGACAACAGACAAGCGGACCTCGACAGGCAAGCCGGGCCTCGAGGCCTCGAGGCCACGACAGGATGAAAGAGTGCCCGCTTAATTGGTCGGAGCAGCTGTGCGGCAACGCGTGACGTATCTTGCGAAATATGACTGGCGCAAAAGCGACAGTTCTCTTGCAGGAAGGGGGGTATGAGCCTTCAGAGAGCATGCATCGTCTTGCAGGACACCTCGAATCCTAACGGGATGTACTGAGCTGGAAGGTCGGTCTCAGGTTGAGAGGAGAGTGTGAGGAAGAAGATCGGTAAACGGGAGAGCGTGAGGCAGGAAACGGAAGACGGAGACGACGAGAAGGTGTGGCACGGCACGGTCGCCTTTTCTTCCCGAGTCTACCCTCCCCCGGGTCGATAAGACTGCACTTCATAATCAATCGAGTATTCCACCGTACGTGGAGCAAGTGACAGAAACAACAGCCGCCAAAAGGCTCGCCCTCTTCCGCGAGGTGGTCTCACAAATGGCACCCCCGTCTCCGTTCTCTTCGTTGTTTGGCGTGCGACCCAAGTTGCGCCACCCCTGCCTGTATGAAGGCCCGAAGAGGTTGCTGGCTGGCGGCGGTTGGCTCGCGTGTCGATGGAAATTCTGTACTGGTACGAGCGATTGGAAAAGACAAATGGAACCAGGCTCGCTTTTGGTCCAGTTGTATTTTGGTGTGGGATGACTTCCCACCAGTAGCGATGACTGCTCGACGCGACCCCGCGCTCTCCGTGTCCACCTGCCAGTGGACCGCCGAGAAGGCCCCCACGGAAGCTGGGGCTCATTAGCTGAGGTGCTGACACATATCGGGACTAGCGTCGGGATGGCAACAGCTACGCTCCGCCAACGGTGGGAAGGTGCAGGTGCAAGGGGACTAGCACACGGGAGGTAAGTGGATCCGCTTACCGAGAAGAGGTCAAGGTGGCTCCTCCAACGGCCTTGCACGCCTCGGTCAACAACCAACCTTTCGCTCACACGCTGCTGCTGCTGCTGCTGTTGGCATGCACCCGTAATTAGCAGTACCTCAGGAAGTTGGTGACTGGAACGAGCCGCGTTGACTACGCCCACAACAATCTCCAGTCGTCGCACCTCTTTCGAAATTCGATCCGGCGGCAATAATCGACGATTTTCCCCTTTGCCCGATCACCAAACACCACCAAGCGATGGAACAGTATCACGACCTGTACGCACCATAGCCTCTTTTCATGGCTACGACCAAAAACCCCCAGCGACGGACCTGCGCTTCAAGTTTGTCTGGGGATGCCTCCTCTCATGAGCATGCCATTCCATCCGAAGCAACGCCTACTGATGCTAGCTATTTTGAAAGCCTCCCGCTCCTGCCATCACCACAAACATCACCTCCTCCCCCGACATTGATACGACCGAACTCCCTTGGCTCCTCGATGCCCGCTCTACCCACATGTTCAACATCTGATGCGTCACATCATCGCCATGGTTTTGAGTCCTCGGGCCCGAACACGCCGCGTCCTCCATCCCATCGGACCAGTCACGGACACAAACATCCTCCATCTCCACCTCCGCCATCCCAAGGATCGCGGCCGCCGGTCCCTACCATGTTGCTACACCCACCACCTCCGCCGCCGCCGCTGCCGCCGAACCTCGATGTCGGTTTAAGGGGTAGAGGCCCGGCAAAGACCGCGGTGCAACGCAGCCTTTCGCCGTCCATGTCCTTATCATCAGGCTCGTGGCATCATGAATACACCAGCTCGGACTCTGGTACAAGCTCCTCGGAGGCCGATTACTTTGAACAGCAAAATCGCGTTGTCTTCCCACCGCTTATGCCCACCGTGCAAGACCGCAGGGTGTTTGATCGAGAGAGGAAACACATTACAGACTCCATCACGGACAAAGTCTCTCGTCTCGAGAATTCACGGAGCTCCGTCCCCAGCCTCGTTGATTCTGATGCATCTTCGGTGGCGTCAATAGCATCATTGGATGATGGCATTCAGGAGTTATGGGTACAGATGAAGCATAGTCGTCAACGGGTGAACTTGCTTAAGCAGGACATGGCCGAGAGGCGTGAGACTCTTCGGCACCTGCGCCGCAGGAAGGATGAAGCTGACAACAACTTCATGAACATGCTGCGCCCTATCCTTGTCAAGGGCCGGCGTGGTCTAGCCGGGATATCCGATCAAACCCTCGAGTCGCGATTTGCAGAGATGCAAGCACTTCGAACAAAGTACCATTCTATCGAGTCTAATTATGAGGAACTCGAGTTGTCGCTGGACGAAGAAGAGGATGGCCTCAACAATACTGAAACACGTTTCTTCAGTCTTTTGGCAGCTGGTAGCAAGAGACACGTCCGGTCAAGGGCGCGGGAGGAGAATTCTGAGGCCGATGAATCTGAAGGGCAACCGGATGTGCCATACGAACTCACCGGTATCTCCCGGAACGGCCCTCCTGACGATGCTCATCCGCTTTGGCAAGACCTTGTGTCTACTATCGGGGATTTGAATAACGCCAAGGAAGAGTACGACGATCTCCTGCTTTATCACAAACAATATGCCTACAGCATGGGCCTCAAGAAATCGACCGGCATGAAGTTTAACACGGAAGAAGTCGAATTCATGGACGAGTATCCGGTAGAGGAGCGCGAGATGCGTGAGGCCGTCAACCGCCTGACGGAAGAGGTTGGCAGACTGAAGCGGATTTGCGAAGAAAAGGGGGCCATGAAGAAGCATCCGTCCTTCAGAATCGCACATGCCCTCGACCCCAACGTTGGCGAGGACCTGGCACTCGACAGCGTGCCTCCAAGATCAGGATCCCTGGCCCATGGTCTGTTTCCCGAACTCCTATCCCGTCCAGACCACGTGCTTCGGCCGGAGCCAGTGACTGCCATTGAGGAGGTGAAGCGGGCAGCGAAGCTTCATGCGGCCGATCCTGCCGCGCAACCGCAGTTGCGCGCGGCTCAGAAGGAACTGGGCATTTCTAGACTGATCAGTGAATTCAAGAAAGAGGATAAGTCGGATTTCATCACGCGGTGGCTTCTGCAGCAGCTGCGTACGTCTCCGCTTGCTGTCGAGCTTCTTTACTCAACGTTCATTCACACTCTTCGGCTAAGAATTGGGAACGTGCAACAGTGGCAGCGAGACGTGCTGTACCACTGGTGGAGAGACGATGCTGTTAAATCTCCAGAAGAGTTTTTTGGTCCGCTTACGGGAAGTGGGATGGTGTCGCCATGGCGGGAGGCTTCTCCGGAACGCACCTCCCTTCCTCCAGAGCGCGACGTGCGCATATCTGCACCATCAAGAGCGGCGACGGAGGATTGGTCGAGCGGCAATCGAAGCGTGTACCCCGAGGAAGCGAGTCGATCGACTGAAGTTTATTGAATTTGCTTAGCGAGCGCTTTTTGTTTTTTTAAGCTTTCGGCTGGGATGCCGGTCGGGTTCCAGATGCCACATTGTATGCCTCGGAAACAGACCTGGCACAAAGAGGGATGATAGATTTTAATTTGGTTTGGAGCGACGGATCTGCTTTGTCTGGGCGGCATACTGATACCCTTTGAAGACCCAGTATTGTTGGTATGTAAAGGTAACCCCGGGGGCATCTTTCGAGCTGACTCAAGGGGCTGCGATACCGGTTTTTTGTTTTGGGGGATATGATGTTCTATTTCTAGTTGAATACACGTATGGGAATCGTTGCAGCCGCCTGCTCAGTGCTGCACTTTATTAACCAACCTGACACCAACGAACGGTTGAGACTGCATCGTTCAGCCGATATCGAGTGCACCACGATTCCTCCGGCCTAGTCCTAGCGCGCGGGAGCGAAAAGTCCCCACACTTCTCGGGACGAGCCATGTCGAGAAGAACGGGCTTGAATTGCGTAAATCAGACAGGTGATGTACCCGGTACACGAGCGCTATCTTGCGAGGCTAATGCACAGCGTTCTACAACGGGTCTGAGGTGCGGAGTGCGGAGCAACCGCGAAGAGGGGGGGAGAGAGAGGAGGGGGATTGCACCACGCAGGTGATGTGAGTGTCCATCGCCCCGCCTAGGATAGCCTGCGAAGAATGCACCCGTCGGAGGGTGTTGACGGGACAAGGGATAAGCAAGGGCTGCGAGGCTGCGATGTTGCGAGAATGAAGGCTTGGCTGTCATGTGCGGCAACCATCTCGAACCGTTTCCTGTGGCCAGGAGACAGTGGAGCGGCCAACCAAAAGACTGAGGTGACGCGAAAGACGATGACGAGGCCGGATTGGGGGGGGAAGAGGGATGGGTGGCATGCCCGGCACAACGCCAGGTAAGTTCACAGCATTGGAATTTGGAGTGGCGACGGCCGACGGCGTCGGTCACCACTTTTGGAAATTGATAGGGAGATGGCGGACAATATGCGGAAAATGGCGAATCATGGGCTTGTTGTGTTTGATAGGGCTGCAAATCCTTGGGATTTTCCGCATGGAATTTGGAAATTCCAATTCCTCCTACGGTCTTGCCGTGCCTGCTTAGCTGAGGGTAGCTAGGATGTTGAAAACAGTCCATTTTAGTGACTTCAAGGATGCGCTTCCAGGTTTGGCGGTACACACGACTGCGGCGTCACGCTGATGATGGTACAATTGTCTGGTTCGAGTCATTGTGTGCGTCACTATGAGAGCGGGTGCGGTGGGAGAAGAGTCTCGAGAGAACATGAGCGCACTTGTCTGTGTGCGACGACTGGCGGAAGGGAGACGAATGCTGGTGGTGGTATTGGGAGAGTTCCATCGCAGCCTGCTTCCACGGACCTTATTTCGCGTGGCAGAGGGCTTCTTCATCTGAAGCCAAAAACGAATCTCATCCGACAAGCTCACCCACGCAAGCAAGGTAGATGAGTAAATAGGCGCAAGGGAGCTATGACATACCTACTTTACTTGGCCTGCTGCTGCACCAGTGTCAACATCCGAAATGCAAGTCACCTCCCGCAGTCAGCATCATTACACGGCTTACATAACACATCACGTCTGAACGAAACGCACGCATCGTGGCTACCCGCTTTCCCGAGTAAGCAAGCACTTCCGCGGGGCGGCAGCCCTACAAGGAGGGGGTTACTACAAAAGTGTTAGAGCCTGCCTACATAGTACGTTTGCCCAAATGAGGTCATCAATGTAGACGAAATTTGATCCGTAAGGCGACTCAACCTTGCTGGGTGGTCGGGGTTCCTTGGTGTAAGCTGAACTCGCCAGTCTTGCTCCGCAGGCCGTTGGAACGGGTCCGGACTTAAACACTAACAAGAACAAGCACTCAAACAAAGACACACACACACATATACATATATATGTATATCCTAGTAGAGGCATAAAAGAAAAGCTAGCCGAAAGTCGACAATAGCTTACTTAATATTATCATAGAACAGTGCAAAAGAAGTTGCCTCGTGGCGGAATCGAACCGCCGATCTTCTCATGTCATTAGTACTAGTGAGACGCTATACCACTTAGCCAACAAGGCTTGTCGAATACCAGTGACTCGACCATATAAGTACCCAGGTTTATTGACTCGGAAAACCCCATCTCAGTCAAAGCCTCAACCTCTGCGATTGCCCTCCGATAAGGTAGGTGTCCAAGTCCACACAACTCATTCTTAGAACATTATTTGGAGTCCTGTTGGATAAGAATAGTAACGGTTTCATGTATTGCGTCACTTAAGAACCTCGCCTATGAATGCTAGCAACCAAGGCAGTAAAGCACAACTCAGCCATCAACCGCGCTTCCATCGCTGTGCTCGCTTCTAATGATATCTTCTCGCATCCCTTTTTCGGCCATGAATATTGATGAGGTGATATGTGTCTATAGTAGGTGAATGTACAGTTAGTTTCTCCTCCACGGGCGGCAGCAAGCCTCCAATTGAGCCTTTCCAAGACTTCTGGAGCTCCAGGCCCCGACGCCGGAAAGATGAGTGGTTTAACTTTGTGATATGTATGTGTCCGTGTCTGCTGTCCATGGCAGACTTGCGGTTGGGTTTTAATGACTCTCTCTCTCGTTTGAAAATTTGGTTTCGATGCTTTTGTTGATGTGGAATCCAACTCCCCTCACGGCAACCTTACGCTGCCACCGTTCGCCTCCGGAACAAAACCTCCGCGTTCGGATCAGGCGACTTGCTCATCACCATGACCATCGGCTTCGGTCGTGTCTCCCCGTCCTTGAGCTTCATGTCATAGTTGAGCAAAAAGTACGCCAGGACCATCTTGATCTCGTTCCCTGCGAAGAACCGGCCCGGGCAGGCATGCTTCCCGGCGCCAAAATTCATGTTCGTGTCGCTGATGCTGGTGAACTGCCACCTGTTTGCGTCCTCGTCGGACTTCTGCCGTAATTTGTAGAACCGCAGCGCGTCGAAAGTGTCTGGGTTCTCAAAGTATCTCTCGTCGTGAGAGATGCCGGCCTGAGGGGCCAGAAGTTTCGTGCCGGGGGGCAGGTGGGTACCGTCGGAGAGGTCAATGGGCTTAACGACCTTTCGGATGAAGGAGGCTGAACAGTGTTAGTGGAATCGTCTCACTCTTACATGTACAGATCAACATACTGATGTTTCCAGCGAGCCGCTGGGTTTCCTTCATGAAGCTATCGAGCTTCTTCAACTTCGCCATGCTCTCCTTCCGCGCCCAACCATCCTCTACCTCGAGGACTTGATGAGCCTCTTCACGCAGCATATCCTGCACCTCTGGATGAGCCGCTAGGTCGTAGATGCAATCCGTCACCAGGTTGTTCGTGGTGTGAATCGACGCAGCCGCCAGGATGAGCTGGAGATGCGCCTGAGATTTGACATCCCTCTTCTCGTCCTCTGGAAGGGCTTCCACGAGCCACTGAATCAAATCGTCGGGAGACTTTTCGTAGCTAGGCATCTCCAGATCCCTTAATCTTTCGTGGATGATGGGTTCCAGCATGGTGGTGGCCTTATTGATATCTTTACGAATCTGACGCAGCTCTGAGACTCCATACTGCGCGATCGGACGAGCCCACTCTGGGAAGAGCTGCATCTTCACAACGGCGACGAAGACATGGATGGCAAAATTGATGCTGATGTCCATCCACTGCTCTTGTCGGTTGATGTCAGGGCCTACAAACGCTCGGCCACTCATCCGTGCAATAGCTCGCAGCGCAAAGGGTTGGAACTTTACCGGTGTCCATTCTAGACCTGTTAGTTGGGCGAAGCAGAAATTCTGACTGATCACTTACCCTTGCAGTTCGGAAACTCTGTAGCCACGACATGCTCGAGCTCGCCCTTGAGCTGAGGCACGAGCCTGGCCAGATTCTGCGAGAGCTTGCACCGTATTAGTGTAGACAGTAGGTCGGCATGGTTGCCCAGGGTGAAGTTGGTATATCTGCTCAACATGGCCTCATCGACGGCCTCTGTGGCGCTCAACGTCTCCTCTGGCAAGCTTCTCAGCTCGCCAATGAGTCTGGCAGGTACGATTACCTGCAGCCCTTCTGTTGCTTTGATTTGATATACGGTGTCGCGGAACTGGCTTTCGTCTTAGCGACTTCAACAAGTCAGTTTGTTGCGCAACATACCTTGCCGTAACTGTCGCGAATCAAAGTCTCAGCGTCAAACATCCACTTCGTCTTGTCGGCCTTGTAGAAAGGCATGTTGGGAAATTTTGGCCTTCGCGACTGAAATAGCCAGGCTGCCACTAGCATTGCGCTTATGGCGACGTAGTAGCTGATGCGCTGGCCACCGGGAACCACCCAGGGCAGATTGAGCTCCATTGGCATGGATGACATGGTGGCTGTCTGGTTCATGAAATGTGACGTATCGAGACTCGCGAGCCTCGTTTGTGGTTCGAAAAGAAAGTAGATGGAGGACTGTTCCTCAAAACAAGTCTAAAGGGTATCAATCCAGCGCCAACAAGATACAGGACAACGCCAGGTCCCGAAATCAAATCGAGTCGGTATTATGAACAAGTAGACGTCGTCTGCTGGGGAAGACTTCCCGAAATGGAGAGGGAAGTATGACGACTTGGAGATGTCTTCAAGATATTTGCCATTAGATGAACAGGTTACCAGCCAGGCCTGGCGCGAAGTCGACGCTCCGATGGTGGCATGAAAATTTGGAGTTTACAAAAGGAGGTGACGAATGTTTCGAGTGACGAATGTTGACGAAACCCGAATGCTAACCGCGTCCCGTCGTCTGTTTCCTTGTCGTTCAACCGTCGTCCAGCGTGTAGTTGGGTTGTCGACTCTCGGGTGTGTCTCCTATAAAGGCCCAAAGTCCAGGAAAGAAACCGAGCAGGAAACAGGCACGGCAGCGGATTGTCAAAGAGAAGCAGTAAAAGTTAGAGCAAAAAGAGGGAAGTTGAAAATAAATGAATGAAAACAAATGAAAGAAAAGAGAAGAGTGAAATCGGACAACGATGCTAGCCATGCTTCGCAGCGGCGCGCGCAGGCGTGCAGGCGTGCAGGCGCACACAACAGAAACACAGACGAGATGCAACACAGACAAAGCAGGGCTTTCCGCTTCCCTTGCGGCACCGGGGCGAGACATAACACAAGCAACCCCGACCTCGAGTCTGATCCCCTCCAGCGCCCCAAAAAGGGGCTTTGGGACCCAAGGACAAGTCGAGGACTGGTAAGCTTGACCTGGCGCCTGGGCCGGGCACGAGTGAAATTCGGAGGGTTTGGGAGTTTGGACCGACTGGGTCGTGATCGACTTCTGCTGCCTTGGGCGTCGAGGGCGGTTTCGCGGACTTGCCAGGCGCATCTGAAACATGGATGGTCAACAGGAGTCGTTCGGGAGCTGCCACCTCCGGATTTTAGCTTGCTGCCACACCCGTGCCTCAAAGAAGAGCCCCAAACATCTGCCGCTGATGGCTGGGGGGGGGGGGAAATGTTTGGATCCCCGTAGTCGCCTGGCGTCCTTGCGTTGAAGAGATCACTTGACCTGGCTCCGGGAACCGCAAGCCGGGAGTCTAGCGGCGTCATTTGGTCAACTTGCCATGAGAAACGGAGGACGCAAGTGACTGACCCGACCGGTAATTGCCGAAGTATCAAAGATGCCGTGCATTCAAGCTTCAACAAGATACCGCAGAAACTCGTCAAACTCGGGTTTGCGCTCGCCCATGCTCCCGTTGTCTTACCAGGCAACTTACCAATCAGAGATTTCTCTCAGGCTCTTAACCTTAGAATGCGGCGGAGATCAACCTCTTTTTGGTACTGAATGCAGCGTAACGCAAATCCGGGTTTGACAAGCAAGTTTCTATGGGTACTCCATACCTGTCCTGGGAATACTACGTAGAGTGAGACGAGCGTCTTAGGTAATCCTTCTCCTTTGGCAGGGGATACCTCCTGGATCAAGACTTCTGCAAGTATCATCCAGTACCTTTTATGGCGTTCTGCACGGGCCGGATACTTGCCTTTCGGGCACGGATGCAGGGGTTCCTCTCGGCTCGCTTACTGGCCGAGACGCGCCAGAAATTGTTAGTGTAGCGCAACTCCTCCATATTCATCCCATCTTCGATCAACTTCTAACCTCAACCCACTTAAACAAACAGAGTCAGACCCTATCCTTCTCGAAGCGCCACCTTTGGCTTTTCAGTAAGCTTCTTCGCTGCTGCCGTCGTCCCCTTCTTCTCACTCTTGGATCTCCCTGATCCCTCACCCCCCTCACCCCAATGCAAGGTGCCTGGCAAATCCGAATTTCGATATTGCAATCAACCTATAGATCTCCCATGAGCCAAGTGTAAACTCTGAAGCCGCCTGCCTCAAGAGCCAAACGCGCGCTGCTTCAGCAACTTCAGCCAAAGTACGAACCATTTAAACCGCCTTCTTCAACGACCAAACAACTGTTGCGACGGCACCCAGGCATCCCACGACAACACAATAGCCTTGTCTCGGATCCTGCCGTAGGTTGTCTTTCGCGGCCGCCATGGTCATGGGCGTCGCCATCTCCATCTGGGGTACTCGTCATCTCTCGACACACCCCCATTCCCTGCAATGCAACAAACCTGCTCGCTCATTTCTCCGTGCAACTGAAATCATCACGGCCTCTTCCTGCATCCGACAGCCAGACAAAAGCCAATGCTCAATGTCCGTACACACAATGTTTGCGCCTCCGTGAGGAAACGCATGGCCTGCCAAGAATGATGTCCAAGAATAGGCACAGGGTTCATCCTCAGCCAGGGAAAGATTTACCGACAGCCTGCAAGAATTATCTGTTCGCCTGCCTGCCTGCCTGCCTGCCTGTCATCGTCTCCAGCCGGTTCCATCCATGCATTCCCAGTAGCGGCCGTTCACTGCCGCCGGGAAGGCAGTGCACAGAGATCGCCGGCTAGTCAGCTACCGAACCTGGGGGCCGCCTGCTGCTGGCCGCGCGTGCAACGTGTGGCCGTGGCCCCCTCTGACACTCTGACTCCCAGCATGACGAAGGAATAGAGAGGGTTATCTGCATGGGAAAGCTACCACACCAACTATGTGCCTTCCCGCAACCTTCAGCGCATACGACACGCAGCCACGTATAGTAGGCAGGGAACAAGACGATAAACTTGCGACTGAGCCGCCCACGAACCACGGTCAGCCCTCGGGAGAAAGACGACTTCTCCTAGCCTGTCCCTGGCCAGCATCGCTCTTGTCCCCGTGCCATGGAATTTTCTGTCCCGCCCCGGGAATGTCGATGCGCTGTTTCCATGTTTGGCCTTCGAGACGGCGGCTGATTACCTATTCCGAAGTCCGGCGACTCTATCGACCACTCATGATAATAGTTCCCTTGGATTTGCCTGGACAGATTTTCTCCGCCAAGACGGCAGCCGGCTTCCGCACCTCAAAAGCCAGGTACACTGCGAATCCTCTGAGGAAATGCATAGACGGAGCCGACCACGGCACCGAGGACTGCGCGTGCTCAATGTTCTGTTTTCCATTGTCCATGACAGTGGCAACCAGAAACAGTCCGGTTCGCAAACCTGAGAACAATGCGACCCGGCCACTGTCGGTCCGCTCAACAGCCTCGTCAGATGGCTTAAAGCCGCCACCGACAGACGTCGCCTTCCAGTTTTACCGCTACCATGCGCGACTTCGGCTGATGTTTGTTACGGTCCCTAATCCTCGCACTGACCGGACCGGTTGAGGACGCCCATTTTGTCTGGCATACGCGGCAAACAATGAACCCTTTCCACGAATGGAAATCCAAACGAACGACTGAACTTTCCCCATCTGAACCCGATCCCAATTGTCGAGCAACTCGACCGGACGAGCCAGAGCTGGCCACGACCCAGGGGCATTTGATTCTTTATGACGCAGCTCTCTGTATCAAAAACCAGGCCATAAGATCGAACGACAACAACTAGTGGACAGACTAACAAAAGAAAGACAAGTACGGTCACGATCGGTTCTAAATGTAGAAATGTTTTCCGGGCCCCAAAGAAGTTACTTGGCCATAGGAATGGCCAGCTTCGGTCGGTATCAAACAAACCACGGAGACCAAGCGCACCAGCCACACACCAACAAGAATTTGGTGTTACTGTCTGAGGTTAGCTCGCTAGCTCATCTCCAACCGTTTTTCACAGAGCTGCAGAGCCGCGACATGTCTAGCGCTTTCCCAGACATACACAGATAGCACCAAAATAAACATTACGTCGTCCAGCGACCTCCCAAACAAGCAGCCGCCAAGCAACGATCGATTAATCACACCCTCCTACCTAAGTTGATACCAAGCGGCAACTAAAAAACGAAAATGCGGCCAGTGTGGATTGAACACACGACCTTCAGATTGATTGAATGAAGTTAATCGGATGTAATCCGCTTCAGTCTGACGCTCTCCCAACTGAGCTATGTCCGCCACGATCTTCGGAAGCGTCCGCGACATTAACGAATAGATGGCAATATGGGCCGGGGCTAACTCCACCCCACAACTTGTCTCTTGACTCAATCCCTAGTCACTGAGTTCTTGCCTTGGGCAGAGTGTTATCACACACGTGTATCCTTAATAACACATTTCATCTAACATTGCGGCTGGCCGCGGAGGCCTAGCCAATATAGCGAGTCAGCACTTCGCACTCACCGCGTAAATCAGCCAACTTGTCCCAAAACCCCATGGTCTCAATCATAACGGCAACGAATCGTCTCGAAGCGTTCACGCTGATGGGCACGCGGTTTCTCTCCCCTTGGATCCCGACAACCTGGTCATCTGCAATTTCGGTAGACTAAGGTAGCCCGGAGACCCTGGACCCACTCGCCCGCATCCGTCCGACGGGATTCCGCCTAGCTTCCCGGTCGTTCTTGTCCACAACCCTGCCCTAATGAAGCTCATGCTGGCCGAGCTGAATATCAATCAAATGGTCTGGTGGTGTAGTTGGTTATCACGTCAGTCTAACATGCCGAGCATCATAGCATGTCTCGCCAGTTCACTGAAGGTCTCCGGTTCAAGTCCGGGCTAGATCACACTATGGGCGATTGGTTTAGTGGTATAATGACCGCTTAGCATGCGGTAGGTCCTGGGTTCGATTCCCAGATCGTCCATCTTTTTGGCGCTCTCGTGGTTGCGGTGAGTTAAGATTACTCGCTGATAGTCTCCGTGTCGTTTGTCTCTCTCAAAATCTGTATTTAAACAATCATATTTTGGGCACATACTGAGACCAGTGTGGCTTTGACTCAAGAGTGCCAGACTGACTAGTAAAAAAAGGACTGTTTGCAGAACCGCTACCCGATAGACTGTTTAAAACTTGAGACCAGTTTCTGAGTTTGTGACCCTAGGGCTCTGTCTCACAGAGGTATGGAATGAAGATGGACGCGTCGTCTTTGCTTGACGGCAAAATCATCATAGTTTGGTCGGGGTCAAGGTCAACGAAATAAAAAGTCACAGGATACCCCAAGAACAAGAATCTTCTCAGGCGGAGCTCGTGACAAGGACTCACCATATTCGAACTGTGTGGTTGGTGAAGCGTCACAACCTCATCCTACGCAAGCCTGCCTTGGATGCTCGGGAGCCAATGCAGGAGCAGGAACCAATGGTTAGGATTGCCCGAGAAAGCCAAGGCGGACGACCAAACGTAAAATACGGCATTGGTAGAAGATGAGAGACACGAGCATCATCCCAGCAAACGTAAATGATACGCCTCTGAATTCAGCTGTGGGCCTCTGCGATTAATAGAACGTAGGGGACGCGCGTCCACCGAATTGTTAAACCTGAGCTTTTCCCGAGTTGCTTATTTTTCATCGGGGTTCACACCCATCTTTGGATGTCAATAGGCATTCGGCCAGATTTTGCCGCACTGGTCAGGCGGTAGACATCACTCGGGTAGGGGTCGCTGGGTGTTGTGCTGCGAATAGAATTATCCTGCCTCGCGCTATTAGTCCGCGGGGTGCCTCTGCCGGAGATACGCAGAGTTTGAAACCATTCGCGAGCCTAGAAGACGGGGAGATTAGAGGAATGGGAAGGGATGGCTGTCAATCAGGCTCCAACTTTCTTCTAGACGTCTGATCGAAAGAGGCCCGTGTGTTTGGGGCGGCACATCTTTGCATCATGGGGCAGTAGCGCCGGCATGTGAGCGAGCAAGCGGGGATCAGTTCCAGGTCGGTGGTAAGCTCGATCCATTGGCAGCACAGATAATGTAATGTCGGGTGATTGGGGTCCCGTCGACGGTCCTCCATCACCTGGTATGGATTTCGACTGGACCAGCAGAAGTCAAGTCGGCAAATCACTCTGAATAGGGTCTTAGTCCCAACTGACACATGGGAAGTTGATGAAGAACCCGGCATTGTTCATTAGAAGTTGGAGGAACTATCTCAGCTCAGAACGAACAATCTCCTTACCTACAGTCTCTCTCCCAACGTCGACCTGTCACTCAGTCCGAAGACACGTCCAACTCGACGAGGCGAACCCTTTCGAACCTGTAGTATCATCCCATCCGTTGACAATTAGACCCATGTTCAATTTTTTTGCTTTTTGATTGAACTCTGTCTCCGTTCAAGTCAGGACAGACTTTGTATGTGCGTCTTTGACTCGTCAGTCACCACCCCTTGTAACCCCTCCCCGTTCACGCCAATAACACTCAGTCAGTGCTAGTTTTTCCTTTGAGCAAGGTCGAAGACGGATGGATGGGCGGGTGATCAACCCCGATTCATGGGGCAAAGCTTAAATCGGCGGGGACACGATTTCCTACCTAGGCAGTCTCTGTAAGTCTTAATGCGGGTGGGTGGCCTGTTTTTCCCCTTGTGCGTCTTGGGCCCATTGGTGCAGGTTTGGCTATGCATATCAACTCCCTCGCTCTCTACTATGTCTAGGGTCTAGTAAGTCGGTCATAATCCTCTCGTGAGGCCTCAGTTGACACACAGCGGTAGAGTTGTGTGTTTGGGGTTGGTACCATCTACATCTATTGATGTCCTCTTCCTGCCGATGTTGAGCTGCGATGCGCTCTAGAGCAACAGTCCAGCTTCTAGTGAGAGAGCGAGCCGCTGCGGAAACATAAACTAAGAGTAGGATTCTCTAAGCCCTGAGAACTAAAAGGGGTTCGTTCTTCCGCGTACTAGAGGGATGTAACGCTTTTTTGCTAAATATCTCCAAGCACATGCATTTCACATGCTCGATCAACTCCGGTACAGATTAAGCAACGCGGGCTAGATGAATCAAACGGCCTTTCTTCGATGGGTTGGGGCCTGGTGAGGGGGGATGGGGGTTAGAAATGTCTTTATATGGCGCCTCGAGACGAGCGTTGTTTAGACTAACAGACACCCTCCTTGCCAGTTTTCTCTTGACCCTCAGTTCTGTACCGAAGCTCCAACACCAGTGGTACGCTATTCGAATAAACTCTGACAACGTGTTTGCAGATTTAATCAAGATCTCAGCAACGCAGATAAGCCACGGAGTAGCTAGAGAGATAGACCCCATTGATCGACCGCATCGTGAAATTCGAAATCGGTTTGGCCTTCTACGAGTTCAGAGAATTTGTCGTCGTTGAGCCGTCGTTGAGCTAATGCATATGGATGCGAGTATAAAGGTATGTTTATGGATTTGTTTCCCTTTTGATGTTGTGTGTCTCTAATTCACGGATTTGGCCCGTCATTATGCCTGGATAGTGTGGGAGGTGACTGCATTCTTGTTGACACCCCCCTGTAGCTAAGCCTCGCCATCTGCGATTGCGGGGGGATTGACGAAGGAATTATGAATAATGAGTTGGGAAGTGTCCAGCCCCTCCTGAAGTTTCAATCAGCAGTATCATTCTCGTCGCTGGTATAGCGTCTACGATCATTCGCACCCCGGAGTAGTCACCGAACGCTCCGAACGAGGGCACTCGAGTGAGTGAAAGACAAGCTCGATATATATTTACTGAAATATGGACATGTCACTACCTTCGTAGCCGAGGTACGAGACTGAAGCCAGCAGCGCCTCTAATTTTGACCTAATCCCTCTGCCGCCCGCCTGCCGCCAACGCAGAGCCCCTGTGCAGTATACTTATACGTCGTCTCTTTATATCGTGATCTACGAGCCAATCTAGGGAGGAATTTGGTTCTAGCTTGAAATTTGATTGCAGGGCGTAACGTCTGATCCGCTCATACTTTCTCTACGAGCTAAAGTACCCCTGATAGCGCGTTGTAAAGAAGTTGAACTGTGTCGAAGACATGTTGGTTTTGTGTCATCGAGGGGACTCATATTGAGGGCTCTGGAAAGTAGACGTCAAGCTACGACTGCATTTATTATGGCATCAACTCGGTGGTGTTCGTTGACAAGTATTTAGAGAGGTGTTGCGGCCGACGAAAACTAGGTCTCTGTCTGAGACTGAAAATAAATTCCGTGTGCATCGAAAACTTAAGTGAGCACCAATGAACTTCTCCTATGTATGCCCGACCGCTGAAAAAAAAAAAAAAAAACAAGAAGAAGAGTCCACTGATGAGAAAACACCCAGCTCAGAGGAACAAGCAAGGCCAGACCCGTGGGCTTGCGCGTAGTCTACCGAAGGGATGGGAAATCGCCCAATACTGTTGGACCGGGTTAGCGTAGGTGAAATTGGATGCGATCAAAAGCTCGGCTTTCACGATGCTACTATCACATGCGGCCGAGAGGCTTCGGTTTATCGGACCTACCTCTGAGCATCGTACGGAAAACCCAGTACAAGACAGCCGGCCCCAAATTGCCTCTGGAGTCTGGAAATTGTCAGTCTCGGTTTGTACCATGAGCATAGCTCTGAGAATCAGCTCTTGCTCACGTCAAGTCCAATTGACTGGCGAATACGTGTGGCATTGATTCTTGGCGGACCGCCACTTGCCTGCTTGGTGAAATTCAAAGGTTTATAGCTGTGAATCGCTTGATCTCGCGTTCGAACCCATCGCCGGGCACTGGGTTCAGTCGCTGGGAAGAGCGCGATGGTAAGCTCCCAAAGGCCTTTTGGGGCGTGGGACAATTAGCCTCAGTAGAGGACCATTATTAGCCCATCGCAGTCTCTCTCGTCTGGTAGCACTTTCATCGCCACTCAGACGCCTCGCAGAAGCGATCTGTGGCTGACATCAGCGACATACAAGAAGGAAACATGTTATCCATTGAGCCCCTGAGAGGGTGGCTGGGGAGCTGTCGTTCTCAATCAGTTTCTTACTTCAGGAGACGAACACCAGACACGACCCGTAACCCCTGAGTCACAAGCTCATCCAAAATCATCTCGCTTCCACATCTTCTGGAACCATTGGGGGGAGACGGTCTAATGGAAGGGAGGCCAGGGTGTCCGACGACGAGCCTGCTTCAACCAAATTGCCGGTACGCTTTGTGGCTCCCTAGGCTAGTATTGTACGTACACGCCTGGTCAGACTGTAGCCGGCAGCGAGCCGAGATGACCACGCAGCTCGCAATAAGGCCCAGGGCCGAACTTGAGCTAGGTGAGAGTTTGATGGACCGGCAACCAGGGGTACAAGTCCCGCGGAAACGCAGGAACGCATAGGGACTGGCGCAGTGCCCGTCAAGGTGGAGATGCTAGCTTCGTCGCACTGTGAAGAGAGATCGACGAACCATACCAATGTGGGTGCCGGAGCGACGAAGAGCTCACGTGCGAGCCCGAGCATGCTGGGGCAGACAAGGAGGCTGGCTTGGAAGTATCTTTCCAGACGCCCCACGATGCGAGGATGAGGAAGCCGAGAAGGTCGTTGGGATTCTGGAGTTGCCCATCATGAGCTGCTTCCGCTTCCCAAATTATAAAGCACGAATGCAGCGGCATCGCTGGACTTGCTGCATTTGTTGCTGATCACAGAGCAAAACTGATGAAGCATGCCTTGTGGTTGAACAGGCCGCTGGCCGATGGGCTGGCAATCTCAGAGAGAGACGCACCAAAAAAGAAGAGCTTAGTTTCGGGAGCCAGGTTCAACATTTGGATGGGTGTAAGCTTCAACCAAAACGTCGTCGACGGGGAAGCTTCCCGGTTGATCCGCACAAACAAAAATCCTGAACGATGAGAATTGGTTGGGAACGGTTGAAACAGCCATGGGGAAGAGGGGGAGATCGGTCACCGAACGAGGCGAGCGAGGACTGAAACGGTGAAGGCGTTGATCAATCGGTCGCTGTTATTTGAGGGAGAAGCGATTAAAGTTATCAGATCGAACCCATGTCATATCGCTGGGTATTGGCGCTCGTGGAGCAGCTCGAGGCTCAAGCTGGAGCCTCAGGAAGACGCTCGCGACCAGCTCGAAATGAAGATGAGACACAGGCACACAGGGAGACGCGAGCGGACCTGGGCGACTGGGTCTCGCAGCCCCATGATTTCAATTGTGCTTGCTCGTGTGCGATGGAAGGATTTGCTAGCGTCGTGTCGACAAGGGTATTAACAGCAGCCGGTCTCGGAGATTGAGCATAATCAGATTAGATGCGATTGATTTGATGAGATTGATAATGAGCGATAAGATTGCGGTCATGTCTTGGTCTGATCCGGTGAAAGCCAAACAGCCCCAGCTGGAATGGCTGGACGCCATGATTGGACGAAAGGTCACGGACAAGGATCGGATGGTTCAGCACGTGTGGCATTCCGTGAGGAAAAGCAAGGTGCGGAAATGCTCGGTCCGTTGGGAAATGAAGCATCCCTCATTTCGTTGGGTTGTCCGGCTCAACGCGGCCAATTGCTCTTGCTCGCACATTTGAGTTTTGCAACCATATCGAAGACGGGTGGTCGGAGCCTTGGAGTTGCACCGAGAGGAAAGGTTTATCGCGGCATTTTATGCGGTGGACTGCATCGCGAACCCAATTGCATAGTTAGGGAGCATCTTGAGATGGATCACCAAGCAAGAAAACTCAGAAGCGCTCATGTGAGCGGTTTTGTTAGGAGCAGACCGACGTTGCTGGAGTCTAGAGATGGGGAGACGGCCGGAATTCCTCGGTTCGGCAACGGCAGCCGGGACGCGTGTTTGCGGAATATGGCGATTTTTACCCAATCCTACCTGGCATAGGAGCGGGTGACCAGCGTTGCATTCCGAGGGAAACCTTTCGTCAATTGTGTGGCAGGGAGTTCTGCACGCGGAGCCGCAGCTGGTGGTTCTTGGGATTTGACAGTTGATGCGCAACAGTCAGATGGCGACGGCCAGCATGGGGATACGGTATGGCATCGGTACACAGTGTGCGCAGAACTCAGACGCAGAACTTAGAGGGGAGCCGGCGGAAAGGAGTGGCAATCCAACGGCTCATGGCCCGGCATTATGGGCTGACTCGACAGGACCCTTGGCCGAGTCTTGCTCGTGCTCGGCGTGTGTTCCGTTGGGTTCTCGGTGAGCGGTGAATCGTATCGCAGGTCATTCTTTGGGGCCTGCCCACGCTGCCGTTTTCATCGAACGACCGTGGTGTGTAGAGAAATTGCTTCGGTAGACATTGGGTCTACATAGCAGTTAGCGACAGGGGCTGATTCCTGGAGATCAATCCGGGAGAAATTGGTGGTGCAGTAGTGAAGTGGTGCCGCGGGAGGTGGGTGCAGGAGACTGCCGTGTGCCGTCGTCCATCCCCGAAGTGGAGGGAGTGACTGTGCGTCAGAGGTGCGGCCACCTCATCATGCGCCGGTCGTACTGCACGATGGTAGCGGGATAGCATTACGGCTACGGGAGAGCATAATCGTGGAGGGGGGATGGTGAAATGAGGGCTCTTTCAATGGCCAGCGAGTCCGGAGCAAGTTGGGCCCAGCCTACCGGACCGGTAAGATGGATCTTGAAGTGCGCAAGCGGGCGCGAAACCCCACACTCTTGTTCTGTGGCGGCGATATGCGATGCAGCAATGTGCGATGTGCAACACGGGGGCCGGTGAATCGTCAGGTTTTCCAGGTGTGCGGGACGAGTCCACTGCGGTGCAGCACAAATGGGCGATAGTCCGACACTGTGAAGAGCAAGCGAGCTAGACAGCCCAACAAGAGTGGGTGGGTGGGCAGGTTCGCTTACCTCATTTTGGCTTTGCTTTCCGGTATCCGGCTCGGTTAAAATCACCTCGGGTAAGAGAGTGACGGCACGTGGGGGACGGGACTTGTTCAACTGACTAGAGACAGACGGAGAAAAAGCCGGGCAAGAAAAGCCGGAAAAGGGATGATTCTGGCAGGGACCGGTGGAGTGGGGTGTGGTATGGCAGATGGAAGGCAGGAACCAGTGTTCCTTCCACGGTCTTGGCGGATCGGAATGTGGAAGGCGAAACGATGTGAGATGCCATGGCTCATACCGCTGCACTTTGGGCAGTGAGTGTGGTGCAGGCAATTTACAGGGCATGGCATTGGTGTTGATGTCAACGTGTCCCGTGATACAATCGCTTGCATGAGAGGGTGCGCTAGGAAGAGGGCAAGAGGGCTACCTTATTGACTGTGTCGACTTGGGAAAAGATGCAGCAACGAAAATGTATGAATGGGTGAATGAATGCGTGTAGTGTGTGACGCTGCAGACTCAAGTCTCCTCGTCATCGGGGCGGGCGATATCGGCCAAGGTCTCGCGGGAGTGCAGGAGTGGAGGGGAAGTTGGGAACGCAGGAAGGACCCAGCGCGGTCTGTGTATCTGCGGTCCGTGGACCGTTGCTTTTGCTTTCTGCAAGTGCGTGTATTTCTGATGCTAGTAATCTGATTGATAAGGTAGGAACCGAGGGCGAGTGCGAACTCGGATAGGCTGGAATGCGGCGGATTTGACGTGACGCATCCTGACATATATCTTTATTTTGCTCGGTAATGACTTGTGCCAACCAACATGCGCCCGGCTTAAGGCAGAATCTTGGTCTACAGTGATGTCTTGGATATCAAGAGTTGTCAGTTTCGCTAGTTACCCGGTGATAATTCATCATTATTAATTACCCAACATGAACAAATGCTCGTTGGATGCTCAGGTCATCAATCAAATCGTCATGCTCAGCCCGCCGATTGGGGGTACAGCCAAGCCCGATAACTCGTGTACGTACCGTGCCTTATACAGTGCCAAACATCTCCGGTTCCTAGACAGTGTAAAAAGCTAGATCCACTCACTGTCCGGCCGCGGCCATTGTGACGGTGCCACCGCGGTGGCGGCAAGGCCTTACAGGGGTATCCCAGGGTCCCCTGTCGCACCCAAAATCGGATACTTTGGACCTTCGTTTTCCTCACTATCCCTCGATGCATCTGGTCCATTACCTATTTCCCACCTGCGTGGTAGAGTCCCTCACCAGCCTGGATACCGTCAAGCCCTGTGCCTATTTTTTCCGGCCGGTTCCAGTCAAAAATAAAGCATTAGAAAAAAACAACAGGTACATCGCTTGCTCCAGCACTCCCTCGGCCAAGAGATCGACAAACCTCGTCCGTACACACGCACGCACGCACAGCCTTGACCAGGTTTTGCCGCCAATTTTACCTCATCGGCCTCCACGTCCCAAAAACTTGACATTCCTCCCCCTTCCGCCCGAGACGTTCTCCCTCCTTTTCTCTTTTCCCTACCCCCCCCTCTGCAGCCGATTGATAACTTACCACACACCTCGGTCCCGCTTATCTGATCAAACTTATCTGATCAAGAATTCCGCCAACTGGTTTCATCCATCTGTCAACCCACAGCCTCCGACCAACTCATACAAGATTCCATTCTCCCTGCTGTTACGAGCATGTTGAGGACTTACTGACTATCCGTCCCTCCATCCTTTCACTCACGTATACTTTGCGCTGTCCTCTACGCCAAAGTCTTCTGCCTCCCCGTCACCTATCAAAGTCGTCTAGGGCATCGGTATCCGTACTTCCGCCACCTAACCAACATCTTCGACGATATCCGCAAACACGTCGCCATGCACAGCACAATGGCGACCACTGCAATGGCTTCCCACCTCATCGGGTCTACAAGCGACTGCATTCCCGAGGAGCCCAGCGTTTCTTCCGTCACACCCTCCCTCACCTACTCAGAAGAGTCCGAGGATCAAGATGAGGAGCCTCAGGTTCCCAGGAGGCGGCGCGCTTCCACTCGTCTCATTGCTCAGAGCCCTGCCGACATTCAGCGCATCACAGGTGAATCCACAGCCCAATTGATCCAAAGATGCTGCGGTGGCGGCTGCTGCATGAAATTGGGTGCCAAGAAGGAGGGCCTCGAGTACGAGAGCATCCCCTTCCCCGACAACCACGCGTACAAGTCACTCGCCCTTAAGATTGGCGACATCCCAACAAAGTTGACCAACATCGCCGATATGCCGGAGCAAACCGTCTTCTTCGAGCCCCTACCTCGCTCCACCACGACCCTAGCGATCGCCTCATCTCCCACAGATTCGGCCATCTCTCTGGGTGCCGAAGCGCGCGAGGACAAGACCGCAGAGGCACTCGCCACCGTCCAGAGCCAACTCAAGGACTTCACCATCGACAACATCAACACCGCCAGAGAGCCTCCCAAATACGTTCAGCCGCACCCGCCTTACCATGTCTACGCCGCCCGCATCGACTCGACCCGCGAGCTGACCAAGCCCGGCGCCGAGAAGCGCACCTACCACTTCGACCTCGATATTACAAGTTACCCAGGTGAGGAGGACATGGACTTCAGGGTCGGCGGTGCCATTGGTGTCATGGCACCCAATGACAAGGACTGTGTCGACGATGTTTTTGACGCCCTCATGGTGCCTCGGTTCCTTCGGGACAAGCCGGTCCTGTTGAAGACCACAAAGGGCCGCTGGCCTACTGTGTGGGGCGATGACCAGGCCCGCGAGATGGTCACTACACGCCGGGACTTGCTTACCTGGTGCTCCGATATTCAGTCCTACCCCCCGACCAAGCAGCTTCTGCGCATCCTCGCTGAGCACGCCGAGGACCTCAATGAGAAGAAGCTGTTGACGTACCTTTGTGCCGCCGAAGGCCAGGGCGTCTTCTGCGACTTTCGCACCGGGCCGCATGTCTCCCTGTCCCAGCTTCTGCATGCGTTCCCCAGCTCTCACCCGCCCATGGATCTTTTGCTGTCCTGCCTGCAAACGTTGATGCCGCGTTTCTACTCCCTGTCCAATGACCCGCACGACGCCTACAAGACGCGCGACGGCAAGGTGCACCGGCTGATCGAGATTGCCGTCACAGTTCATGAGACTGCTGACTGGCGTCGCGGTCTCCGTACCGGCATCGGCTCCGGCTTCTTCGAGCGACAGGCCCAGAAATGGCTGGAGGCGAAGCGCAACGGAGAGACTCCTGAGATCCACATCCCCATGTTCAAGGGCCTCATGGCCAACCCTCTGGCTAAGCAGTTCGTTTCCGACGGTCCCATGCTCCTCATCGGTGCCGGCGTCGGTATTGCGCCGTTTAGAGGCTTCGTCCAGCGTCGTTTGAAGACGGCCAACTGCGCAAACAAGGTCTGGGTGCTCCAAGGTATTCGCGACTCGCTCGTCGACGAAATCTACAGTGGCGAGTGGGGCGTGCATGAGGACGAGGTCAAGCGTGTCGTCCAGAGCCGACGCGGCGAGAGTCGTTATGTCCAAGAGGAGGTCCGCAATCAAGCCGACCTGGTGTGGTACATTGCCAACGCTGTTGATGGTCGTGTCTTCGTGTGCGGAAGCACCAAGGGCATGGGCGAGGGCGTCGAGGAGGCTCTCGTGGATGTTGCCATGCAAAAGGGCAATCTTGAGCGCGAGGAGGCCAAGAAGTACTGGGAGCTCAAGAAGGAGGCCGGCCAGTACATCGCCGAAACGTGGTAAGGTGGTGGGCGGTACCATGCCCATTTTATATGCACCCCAAAGTCCGACAGTCCTGAAAGGATGAGGCAGGCACTCGGGAAATTTATGGCCGGATGGGCTTATTGATGACGCGGACGATCAATCGATGCCTGCTGTGGCTCCGACTCGGATATTTCGGGGTAACGGCTTCGGCCTCATCGGACGTAAGAAATTAAATGCCAGCCGCACATGGCGACACAAAAAAAGGTGTTGAAACACACCGATGGCATTGGGGAAGGGAATGCAACCTCAAAAGGGCACACCTAGACGGCGTTTCGGGCGGATAAGGAATGATTTCTGACAACAAAAAGACATGGACTGTTGCGAGACAGGGATTCTTCCCTTTAATTGTCATCTACGCATAAGGTGTTTAGGGGGTCAAAATGGGCTTTGCTTGTTGGGAAGAAGATCCAATAGGACTGACCAATGGCGAAGGGAAAGCAGTCATTGGATTGCTCAGGCATTGTGTTAAGGTGCAGCGTCTCTAGCATATGTGTAGTATAGGCGATGGTTTCACCATATTATTAAACAAAGCGTTAAATGAATCCTTTAGAGCAGACGAGTGAGACTTTGGTGAGAAGAGTCACTCAGCAAGAGGACTCTATGATCACGCGCAGTGACTCAGTACATGGAGGGACTCTCGTGCTACAGATTTCAATGAAGCTGTCTTATCTTATATTCATAGATGGTGTCTAACTAGGATGACAAGATGGAAGGATACCAATCGTCAACTCACATGCTTTGACTAATTAGCCCCAGCAGTGCTGTATGTCCTGTCCTTGTTAAGACTTAGCCCAGCAGTCGAAAAAGTAACAACACGTACATGGCGTGCCGGCGAGATTAATACTGTAAATGATGGAGGACAAGAAGACCACTTAGACTGAGGGGGGCATCATAAAGTGGTCTTTGTACAGGAGCACACTACTAAGGTATCCAAAGACGTGTTTGTGACTGCATCTTTACAGTCAACGTCTTTATGATTGAAGACGTAAGTCACTTGTAAGAGCAAGTCGCTTCAAGAGAGTCCTGGGAAAGGGTATTGGTGTGGTATGACTATTCTAACTATGACCAAAGGTGTATGAAAACCTCACTCATTAACAACAAACGCTTTGTATAATAACCCGATAGTATACTGATTATATACATTTCTGTAAGCTAATTCTGTACAAATACCCTGAAGTATAGAACCGCATCGCTAGCAGCAACAGTTGCCGCCGTAGTGTGGTGTCATACCCGGACAGGCCCTCGGCGCAGGTGACCGCCAGCAACGCTGTCAAGTTCGGAGCCGCCCAGTGTCGTGACCTAAAACTCGTCAGCAAAAGGGTTGGGCGGGCTGGCCGGCCAGAGAAGACATCTCTGCCAACAGTAGCTCAGCGGAATCACGAAAAGACCATAGGCCAACCAAGTAAAGGGTACATAGGAGCAGTACGCACATACTGCGTATAAAGTAAAGGAAGGCCCTCGGAGCCGATACTTCCACACGTTGAATCTTGTATGCAAGATCTTAGTAAGATGTGAGGCTGCCTTCACTTTACTCTCCTGACTTATTACACATAGGACTTGATGCATTCCTTCTACTTGTACTAGATCATAACTTGCGGCAAGAGGCTTTGTTTGCTTGAGGCCAAGAGCATGAGAACCTGCCCCTCTTCCTCTCCGGCGGAGGGCTTAGTACTCGATGAAAGTGAGGTGCTCTAACTATCCTGAAATAGCCAATTGGCTGTGCGACTATGATAGTAGCCGGCACATGAGACAGAACCGACTGCGGAAGCCCGCCAGTGTCACAACGACTCGCATGCGATCCAAGATTACAAACCATCCCCCATCCCCCTCTCCTTCGGCTGTGAGAGCTGCCAATTATGGCGGGCGGGAATGATACTCGAGCCTGGGTATTCCAAAGTCCATTAGTGATTCAAAGTTGAGATGGAGCGTGCCATCTGACAAAGTGGAAAGGAACGCCGCGGGTGCAACCATCAAGGCAGAAATCTCAAGGTAGCAGTGTCCCAGCCGTGCCAAGCAGATTTCTAAACAAATACGCCCCGGGGAAACTTCAAACGACGAGACAGCCAAAGGTCGCGTCTTGATTCATGAATGGGGCCTCGAAATTTAGATTCTGATATTTTGGCCATTGCTCATTAACTTGGTAGGGAGTAAGGTGATGTTATTCCCCCGTAAATCCGCATACTGAACAGGTGTAATTCCGTATGTCCGATACGTCTTTCGCCGCACCGGCGCGGGGTAAGCCCCCCCCTCCAAACATCGCCGAACCGCCGAACCGCAGCTCCAGCACGCCCGGCACCGCCAGCAAAGTGGTGGCCATTGCTGACAACCCCGGGCCCGAGACGCAATTTCTTGGCGTACCGACGGCGGTCAGGCACGCCGCGCATTCGCAGCGGAAGCCAACTTCGAGCCGGACATTTCTGTTCCGGGGAAGACATTTCAAATTGCCTCCAAAATCGCGGGTCAGCGGGCGGGGGACGGTAGTGCTGAGGTTGGGGCCGGTCCCCCCATTATGTGGGACTCTTCCGTATACCAAACGGATACAGAGTACTCCGTAACCTACACGTGTAGGTACGCCACGAACGGCGCCATTGCGCCATCGCGATGGCTGGGCGGGAGACGTATCCGTCCCTTAGAAGGTCTGGCAGGGTGGGTCCTCGCGCGCGGTTATGGGTCGCTGGCTTAATCAGCTGCTTGTCATCGCGCGGGTGGGCGGGGGTCACCTCACTGCGACATGTGCTTTGGTGAGGGATAGCTTTGTCTTGTTCGAAGTATTCGAATCGTGCAAGCAAGCAGACCGTCGTATCTTGAGGGGGACCAACACGACACGACACGACACACCTGCTCTGTCTGCTTTGCGAATTGATAATCATGTTTGCTGGTTGGTAATGTAGAACCAATCACCCTCGATTTTGAGGCACAAATATTCGGTTCATCAGTTCCTCGGCCAATACGGTTGTCGTTGGCGTACCCGAACCGCGCGGGAAGGGGGTCTCGGAGGAAATGCGGCGACTTTTTGGGTGTGCCTTTGGTGCTCTGCAGGATCCGTTTTGCGGGTGGACCCCTTTTCAAGCACGTCTGCGACGAGCTCGACGCGCGGGAAAGGCACAATTTCCATGCACGCCTCTGAAGCGTTCGTTCCATCAGTCAACAACGAGGCTCAGACGATCAGGGACACATGTACACACGCGCGGTAGACTTGGGAAACCTTCCTGCTTGCTTCCAGCGGGGGAAGCTATCCGGAACGTTTAGCCCCCATCCTCCACCCCGGTCGTTTCTCACCGCCTGCAAGGGGTCTCGACAGAGTTGGACGGGATGTCTAATGTACACTAAGTATCCGTAGGCATTCTAGAATCTTCGTGGCAGGCGCATAGGCGTTTTCCGTCGCAATTCCCGCGCGGTGGGCATCGTCAGATCCAATCGTTTTCCGATTCCCCGAGTAGCTCAGGGACAACGACGCAAAGGATAGCTTGCTCTCTTTCTCAATGCTGCCGGTGCGTGAGAAGTAAGGTACTCGGGGGATCCCGAACTAGCTTTTCTTCAGCAGAAATTATGATTTCTTTGGCGAGTAAGGCGCCAAAGTCGACAAAGTACCCGTCTTTGGAGGTTTACGCGAGTCTCTGAGTACCTACCTTACTATGTGGTGAGGGGGAAACGAAAAGGTACCCCGCCGGCGGAATGATGTCAAATGTATACCGCCCGCTTAATCATCCCCTGGTTTTCCCAATTGGGACTAGCGATGTTAGTGACTTGTCAAAAGATGCGATTCTTCAGCGAAGACCGACGGCCATGGGAAGAAACAAATTCCGCTAGGTTGGGGCGTTTGTCCTGCAGGCTGCGCTCTGTAGCGAGCACGCTATCGATTAACATTCTTCGTCCTTGTCTGCTAACCCCCCATTCCCCTCCTTCCCCCCCGTCGTCTACTCTTTGTTGGTGCCATGAGAAGCCGTCATTTCATTGGGTTATTGGTAATCCGATATACGCTTGATTACCACACCATTTGCTCAGCGGCCGGGTCCTAGCACGCCTTTTCTAGGTTCCGCACCGGGGGGGGCGGGCGCTCGAGCGTCACAATCCTCGTCGAAGACGGGGGCCCCGTCTAATGCGGGACGCGCTCAAGGCCCGGATCCTTGGATGGAGGGGCAGAGCGGGGACCTTAATCGACCTTGGACTTGAGCAATGGTGCAGGTAGGTAGCTCCTTTGGCGCTGGCAGCTGCGGTTGCTGTGCTGTTGTTGACTGTGATTGTGGGGAGGGGGTTTCCAACGGGTTCTGAGACGCTTTGCGGGAGAATCCCAAGGTGGGATGGACACGCCGCCCGAGTAGGCAGTGTAGCTACTGTGGCCCCATCTCCTGCAAAGCTCCCCTCGGTATATAACCCATCGAGACGCCCTCCCCATCTGCATTTCCCAAAAGAAGACCATATCATGATAAGCATCACTCGAACAGTCATTCAAGCATCAAAGAGACTCTCCCAGCTCCATCCCATCATCACCACCATCCCAACAAAACAACCCTTCTCTAGAAACTTCACCACCACAACCGCCAGAATGTCTGCTCCCAACGCCAACGCCATCCTCGACGCCGTCAAGGCCCGCCGCACCTACTACCCCCTCTCCAAGGACCTCCCCATCTCCACCTCCCGCGTCGATGAGATCGTCAAGACGGCCCTCGCCCACGTCCCCTCTTCCTTCAACTCCCAGTCCAACCGCGTCGTCGTCCTCCACGGCGCCGAGCACACCAAGTTCTGGGACATCACCCTGAGCGTCCTCAAGGCCATCGTCCCCGCCGAGCAGTGGGAGTCCACCAGCGGCAAGCTCAACCTGTTCAAGGCTGCCGCCGGCTCCGTCCTCTTCTTCGAGGACCAGGACGTCGTCAACAGCTTCCAGGAGAAGTTTGCCATCTTCGCCGACCGCTTCCCCGTCTGGGCCAACCAGTCTGACGGCATGCTCCAGTTCGCCATCTGGACCTCCCTCGAGGCCGAGGGTCTCGGCGCCAACCTCCAGCACTACAACCCCCTCGTCGACCAGCAGGTCGCCGCCGAGTGGAAGGTCCCCGCCAGCTGGAAGCTCAACGCCCAGCTCGTCTTCGGTGGCAAGACTGGCGAGGCCGGCCCCAAGGAGTTCAACCCTATTGACGACATCTTCAAGACCTACAGCTCTTAGACGTATCGTTTGCGACGCCTAGAACCCACGAGGTTTGAGTGCGCAGGGGAAAGTCAGTGGAGGAAATACATATAAAGCTGCATCTGCTGGAGTTTGCCTTTGCTGGCTGTATAGACATCTTTAGCGATGGAGACTTGATGAATTTATGGCATTGAATGATTTTGACAACGTCTGTCCACAAACGCATTGCGGAACGTGAGGTGCATGTAAGTGAGATTGATCGGCGCCAGGCTAAAGGAAGCCAATTGAATCAGTCGACTTAAATAAGCGTCCGTCGCCAAGCGCCGATGGGATTCGACCACGTTTGTGACTTTTGGTGAGCTCTGCTGATACTACATCACGCTGCAATGTGAGACTAAGGAATGAAGACAGATAAAATCACGGTATTTTGGTATAACATCGCGACGCTTGTGGTCGACTGATTATATGTGTACAATGGACATCCGTCCTACTGAGACAAGACGATTTCTTTTCGCTACTCTTCAATAAATCCCAACGCCTGTCCCATCTTAACTGTCTGGCCCTTGTCAACAGCCCATCTCCAGCCGGATTTGTCATCCGGCGTCTTACCCTCGGTTGGCGCCTCAAACACCAATACGATGGTGCTACCGAGCTGGAAACCACCCATTTCCTCGCCTCTTCGCAGCGCATGGCCGCCAAGCACAGGACTGGCCGAGGCATATGTAGCCTCTGCGAACCCCGTGTAGGGCTCGCCGCGGGCTGCAGCCTCCTCGGCAGCACGGTCGGCCGCTGTGTCTGTGGTTAAGCTGTTTGTGCGCAGCTCTCGATCAAAGTTGATCTTGATAGATCCCACGTTGGTAGCACCAACGGGGACGTAGCTGAAGAATCCGTAGCGCCAGCGGCCGAGAAGAACAACACGCTCGTTGAGGGTGAAGAGACCGGGCAGCGTGCGCTGGAGATAGGGAGACACGCTGTAAAGCTCGCCGGCAAAGTGACGGCGGCGTTCGACGACCCAGTTTGCGGGCGAGTGGAAGCGGTGGTAGTCGCCGGGGGCAAGGTAGATGACGGCATAGTACAGAGAAGTCTTGTTGTCAGGAGAGATCAGGTCGTACCAGGGTTTCTCGCCGAGGGCGAGGTCGGCACGAACTTCGGAGACTGCGGACGGCGAAGGGGTTTCGGCGGCCTCGTCCTTGAGAGAACCCTTGCGCTGCGTCATGGCGGCGCCGGAAAGGAGGCTGGGCACGGTGTACGAGATGCCATTGACGCGTGCGAATTCCTCGTCCGTCTTGACGATGTCCTCGTTGGGGGAAATGTTCGCCCTCTCGGCCTCGGCTTCCTGCGGCGTAGACCAGCCGCTTGCGATGCTTGATGTCGGGGTGTTCTTGCCAAGGAGGGCGTCGATGCTGTACGTCATGCCTTTGACCTGCTCAATATCTCCGCCTTCAATCTGGCCGTATTGCAAGACGCGGCCATCGGACGGGGAGAGCAGGGCGTTGGAGTCCGGGTGGAGGGGACGGGAACCAGGCTTGAGCTGGCGGTAGAAGAAGGAGGCAAGATTCGGGTATGTGTGCAGGTCGGGTTCGGCAACTTCGTTCAAGCTGTCGAGGTTAGCATTTTCCGACACCAAGATTCCGCCGACCTTCAAACTCACTTGACGCCAAAGACCCATGAGTAGAGCTTGAATCCGGGAACACGCAGGTAGTAGGGAATGGTCAATTCGTTGAAGCGACCCCAGAGCCTTGAGATGGCCTTCAAGGGCAGCGTTGACATGACCTGGACCTGCCAAGGTCCGTCGGGCCTGATCTTTGCGCGTTTCTTGGGCGGCGAGCCATCCTGGACCTCGTCCCTCTCTTGCTTCTCGCGCTCACGGGTCGAGACCTTGTAGAACTGGACCAGGCCCAAGAAGCCGACGCCGAGGCCGACGGGGATCTGGTACCACTGCACCTTGCTGTTATTAAGGGCGGTCCGCAGGCGGGAGGAGAATCGCGGCCGTTGCTGCTGCTGCTGGGAGAAGAATCGGGTCGAGGTGCAGGGGCCGTGGAGTGAGAAGAGGTTGGTGGCCCGTAGCTGGCTCTGGCGCGCGTACAGCGTAGCCATGATGCTTTGGAACCTCAATCGGAAGAGCGGGATTCGGACCACGGGTCTTTTCTGGGGTTGCGGTAACAGCAATGGCCAGACGGAATAAATAGGATGAGCAGGCCTCTTGCGATAAGATCTTGCAGCTCGGCAGCGGCAGCTTTGGGATGACGCAGCACGAACCATCTGAGCGCGCTAGTCTTGTTTGGGCAATTAGCAGCAACACCGTTTTGGACCAACTTGATGAAAAGCTTGATCGAGCTATGTACAGTTCATGGACGTGAGTCTTCGGGTTACTGTCTTGGACAGAGAGAAAGAGGTATTTCAAACGGTTTCTAAATCTACTGGTTTACCTTAAACGTTCTTACCCGATAAGAGGGGTTTATTGCGCATTATGTTATTGACCAACAGATTTACACGATTCTGGGCGCACCAAACTGCTGGAGGAGTAGAAACGTCGTCTCACGTTAAAGAGGGAGCTGGCACTCTTGAAAACCTAATGCAGTAGACATTTTATGAGGGCTGCATTCATGATGGACCTATCAGCCATCATCCTCGAGAGGGCCTCGAGTCATTCATATCTAAAAGGTCTCGATCGTTTCCTTATGCTCCAGAGACTCAGCTTCTACCTTCTCACACATTTATTTTGAACGTCAGCGAGATAAAAGACAGCTGTTACGAGTCTGCCCATTTCTCCCACATGACGTGTCACACACCACACCTACTGGCTGCTTTTGCAGAGACCGAACAGCTTAACTTACGTTCTGCAGCTTCAAGGCATTTTCTAGTCGAAGGAGTACACTTTCCTCTTGCGACTGATCGGGGGAATATCTTTTTCTGCTGTATATTTTTTTTTTTTTTTTGGAAAGAGTCCGCAGACCGTGTTTTCGACACCACAAGGCTTTCCGAAAGCCTTGCCAAATTGGCGTTTGGTCTGACTGATGCGCTACTTACGAGGTTGTTCGGTCATGTACATTTTTTTGCAACGATGTTTTAGCCTTTGGAACGACCTTGTTTCCATCATCAGGGTTAGGCCACAATAGCTTATACGAAAGCTCAATAGTAATGATTTATCAAAATTTGGAAAACCAGCCTCGGGAAAGGGTACCTGTACTAACAGGATTTTACCTTCCCTTAGGGCCTGATCGGCTCGATTTCAAAAAGCATTTGGAAAAGGGATTTAGGGCCCGACAGGGGTAAATAATAAGTGTTTTTTAAATTATTAAAGCTCGCCATACCTAATCCGGTATTAAAATCGTTTATATAATTAAAACTAGAATTATATTAATTTATAAACCCTATTTAAAAGTATTAAATTAATAAAGATACTAAAAGGTCGTTTAATTACTTTAAAAAGGTAGTAATTAATATTTTTTAAGTTTAGATATTTTAAAAACTAAATCCTATTTTAAAATAGGATATAATTAAAATTTAAGCTAAGGATTTATTATATATACTTAGCGTAACCGGCTAATAATATAGCCGCTTTTATTACCGATTAATAATAAATTATTATAAAGTCAATATAGTGTTACGGCCAGCTAGTCGTAATAAGGTTTATATTAATAAAAGTCGAGGCTACGATACTCGTAAATAATAATCGTTATAAAAATAGTTTTAATAAAACTATTATTTATAAGTCGTAAAGTAAGTAAAGCTTCGGTAATTAATTATAATTTTATTAAGTAAATTCTTAGTAAAAATAATTAAAAATAATTATTAAATTTAATATAAAAATTAATTATTAAAAAAGCTATAGAAGTTTATCCTCAAGCCTAGCTCAGGCTATTTTATATATAAATCCTAGTCGTGAACGTATTTTTTATAATATTTTATTTATTATTATTTAACTATTTACTAAGCGGTCGTCCGTCTTATATTTTTATAATTACTTATTTTATTTATTTATAGGCGTCCGTTTTTTATTTTATTATACGATTATAGTTATATAACTTATTTATAGTTTTTTTGTTTTGAAAAAGGCCGTTTAAGTTTTTATTATTATATATATAGTATAATAACCGCTATAAGTCCTATAGGGTAAGGCCTTAATTTAATAATATATATTAAATTATAATATTAACTCCTTTTTTTAAAAGTTTAATCCTTAGGCTTATAAATAAGTTATTTATTTTTAAATTAAGAAATCGTTAAGTATTTTCGTTAAAATATATTAACGCTATATTAAATCGAATTAAAAAATTAAAATTATAAATAACTACGTCTCGTCGCTATTTATTATATATTATTCGTTTTTCTAATAAAAATATAAAAATAATACCGTATTTAAATTATCGTTCTTAGGGTATTTATTATTTAGTTCTTTTTAATTCCGATATTTATAGAATACATTATTATTTAAGTATTTTATATAATACTTTTATTAATATTATTTATATTTATAAATTTTTTAAAAGCTATTTCTTATAGGTCCCGATGAATAAATATAATAAATCGTTTAATAATAAAGTCCGATCGTTTTAATTATAAAAAATAAATAAAAAAGTTACGGTTTTAAAAAAAAGTTATAAAATTATAAAAAAAAGCTAAAGCTTATTAAAAGGCTTAAACTAAATTAAATAAATCGTTATTTAAATTAAAACGCTTTTGTTTTTAAAAACGAATAGTATTTAAAAAAAGTCGTATCGTATTAAAAGAATTTCTTAAGGATATTAAAAGTGTTTTTTTAGTAGTTTGGGAGGCGTAAGTTAATAATATTTTTAGTATTATTAATTAAGACGCCGTAATAACTAAGAGTTCTAGGTTTAAATTTAATTTTAATACTCCTCGAGAAGCTATTAAAAGTTCTAAAAGTTCGTAATAAATTTTTATATATTATCTTTATATTTATAATTTTTTTATTTAATAAAGTACTTTTTACGTCCTTTTTTAATTCGGTAATCGATAATTTATTTAATTTTATATTTTAGTTTATTAAATTCGACGATAATACGATCTTTAGTATATAAACTTTTAAATACCGGCTTTAAGAATAAGATATAAAAAACCGAGTAGCATCGTATCGTATTTAAGAGTTTTAATTTAAAATTAATTAATAAAACTTTTTTAATAATTTCGAAAGGTCTAAGTTTTTTATAATTTAATTTATCGCTTAGTCGTTTTATTTTAATATTATAGTGAAAAAGATATACGTTATTTCTCTTTTTTAAAATTAATTTATTAATCCTTAATTTATCGACGTATTTTTTTATATACTGCCGTATAAACTTAAGGTTTAAAAAGGCTTTTTTTTAAATCTTTTTAAATTTATTTACGTTTACTACGGTTTTTATAGCCTATAGTCCTTCGCGTACTTTTTTATATATAATTAATTAAAATCCGTAATTAAAATAAAAAAAGGATTTTTTTATACTTTCGTTAACTACGCTATTATATATAAACTAAGCTATTAGTAATAGTATTATTTAATTATTTTAATTATAATTTATATAGTAGCGGAGGTATATCTCGAGAATTTAATTAATTTTTTCTATTTATCTATTAATTTATAAATAAAAAAAGGTTAATAGTTTATAGTCTATACTAAGCTACGAAATTAAAAATTTTTAAAATTTAATAATAAATAGTTTATTTTTATTAAAAACTATTTTTTTAAATAAACTATAATTAATAATGATTATTTTGAGGAAGGTATATGCTAGTTCCTTAGTATTACTTATTTTTTTATATAATATAAAATAGGTAAATTTAGTAAGTCGGTCGACGATAATTAAGATGCTATTATATTATATATTTGTTAATAGTTCCTTAGACTTTAGTAATTTAACGATGAAGTTTTAAGAGATTAAATACTATACTTTTAGGGGTATTAATAGTGGTTATAGCTTTTTATAAAGCTTATAAGGGCTGTTTTTACTTTTTTTATAAATATCGTAGTTTTTAATAGCCTTAGCGACTTTTATTCTTATAACGGTTTTATTATAATATTAACGAATTCGTTTTTATATTTTTATAACATTTTAATAACTGTATACTTAAGTATTATAAATTTTTATAATAAGTTTAGGAGTTATTTTTCTAAACGGGCTAATATTAACTTTTTTAATTATTATAAAAAGTTTTATAATAAGTATAAAATTACCGTTATCGTCGTATTTAAAGATTATTTACGTTTTTTTAAAGACCGTAACTTTATAATTAAGTCGTTTATTAAAAACGTCTATTTTATTATTTTCTAAACTTTTCTAATAAATAATTCGGAAATTAAATTTTAATAAAAATTCGCTTTATTTAATTTATCGTTTATTTAGATTTTTATTTATTATAAAGTTCGTAAAATTTTTATAGTTTATATAAATAGTAATTTTGTGTTTAGTTTTTAAAAGCTATAGTCTTTATTCTTTAAAGGCTTTAATTATAATTATTAATTCTTTATCATAAATTTATTAATTTAATTCTATTTTATAAAATATTTTAAAATAAAATATATAAAGATAAAATACTTTTTATTAGTCTTGTTATTTCAAAATAGCTCTTATAACGAAGTCCGAAACGTCGGTCTCGACTTTAAACGGTTTCTCTAAGTTTAAAATTATAATTATTAATTCCGAAGTAATTAAATTCTTAACTTTATTAAAGGCTTTTTTATATTTTTTATCCTAAATAAAGGTTATATTTTTTTTATTAAATTATTAAAAAGTTTAATAATATTAGCGTAGTTTTTAAAGAATCGTCGATAAAAGTTAATAAATTTTAAAAATAACTATACGTCTTTAATACTAATAAATATAAGCTAGTCCTTAATTATTATTATTTTAAATATTTATATATAAATTTATTTTAATATAATTATATAATTAAAGAAATCTACTTTTTATATATAAAATTTATATTTATTAAGCTTAGCGAAAAGCTTTACGTTTTAAAGTTTTTAAAATACTATATAAATATATTTTTTATATATCTCGAAGTTAAGGGAAAAGATAAAAATATCGTTAAAATAAACGATTATAAAAATATTAACGTACTCCTTAAGTATATAATTAATTATTATTTAAAAT